AAGGCAGGAGGGAGGAGGAAGGGGCTGGTGTGCTATTTGCCAGCTGGGACAGCAGGTGTGGGGATCCCAAAGGCAGCTTTAAATGGCCCCAGTTCCACCAGTCTTGCTGGAATGGAAGGGCAGGATAAAGCTGGTCCCTGCTGGGACCAGTCACAGCAAGACCCGGAGTGTGTCTGGAAGGGGAACAGTGGCCATGAGTGAGGGATGGAGCTCACCCAGAGACAAGGGACCTGCACAGAGCACACCCACACCTCCCACTGCCAGAGCTGGGGTGACCTCTTGGTGCAGACATTGAATGGTGGGGAAATGAGAGACTCTCTTTTGGTGCTGAGTCAGGGTGTTCCCTCCTCAGGAGGCACAGGGAAGATGGTAGCAATGAAGGTGATCTCATTTCACAAACACCAGCATCTCAGTGACTGGCAGTAATGGCTTGGGCTCAAACCCTGCTGAGTGTCCACACCAGCCTGGCAACTTCCTTCTTGGTCTCAGAGAGTCACTTCAAGGGCCACAGACAAAAGCAGATCAAACAGGTGTGTGCGTGTGTACTCTACCACTTCTCCACAGTGGATTTGTCCACCTGCAGTGTGAAGAATGAGGCTCTGGCACAGGGTGCCCAGAGAAGCTGTGGCTGCCCCATCCCTGGCAGTGTTCAAGGGCAGGTTGGACACAGGGGCTTGGAGCAAGCTGCTCTAGTGGAAGGTGTCCCTGCCCGTGGCAGGGGTTGGAGCTGGAGGAGCTTTAAGGTCCCTTCCAACCCAAACCAGGCTGTGATGCAGGTCCTTTTCAGTTATGAGCAAATAGCACAGGTAGCTCTCACCAGAGCATGTCCTTGAAGGCAAACAGGGCTGGGGCTCCTGAGCACTGAGGACCTGGGAGAGCCACGTCAGAGCGGGTGCTCCTGTGCGCCAGGCACCCAATGGCCCTTCCAGGTTCTGCCATACCCCGTACCTTGTTCACCCCGTCACCCTGAGCTCCAGCCTGTGTTTTACCAGACAGACACCTGTTTGGGTGGGACTGGCTGAAGAACAGTGATGGCCACGCTGTATGTGACCCACGGCCAGGCTGTTGTCACCTTGCTAGGGCCCAGCCGGGGCAGGGGCTGCACTTGGGGCAGGCACCGGCAAGGGGGGGAACAGCCTCATCCCTGCTGGAATGCCAGGGGGAAGGAGAAGGAGCCGGTGCTCAGCCCCTTCAGCAGGAGGATGGAAATCTAAGGCAATTATCTAATGAGCTCATCAAGGGGTCTCTGTGGAACCCCCCGGGGGAGCAGGCACAGGAGGGGCTGTGTGTGATGCAGCGTGCTAGGGATTCAGCGTGCTAGGGATGCAGCTTTGGGAAGAGGTTCTCAGGGAGCCCTTCCCCTGCTCTCATTGGGTTCATGGGCTCTGCCCCCCCCCAGCATGCCCTGCCTCCTCCCAGCACTGTCCTTCTAAAGCTTTCCCAGGGAGGATTTTGTCCACAAATTAAGCCATTACCTGTGACTTGGCTCAGGAATATCTGATGTAAATGAAGAAGCCCTAAATGTCATTGGATTTTCTTGCTGAACCATTTACCTCTCCGAGCAAAGCTCCTGGCTCCCACCGCTGTGTTTGCCTTTGTCCACAGCCCATTGAGGCCCATAGGACAGCACAGAAATAAGGGCCCTAGAAAATGGGGTGCTGGGAATGGGGGTTCCTGGTCCCCCTTGGCCAGGGCAGCTCGGGGCCTGCAGCCTCCGCTGGGTTTCAGGCAGGAGGAGGAGAGCTGCAGCAGGCGGAGGAGCTCCTCGAGCCCAGCCCCAGCGCTGCCAAGTGCCCTGTGCCTGGGCACCCCCCATCCCGCAGCTCTGCCCGGGCCCTGCCAGGCCTTGGGCACCCAGGCAGGCTGTTTGCTCAAGGACAGTGCTGGTGATGCTGGTTCTCCTGCTTCTGCCTCCCCAGAGGAAGGTGGGCGCTCAGGACCCCAGGAGGTGGCAGCAGGGCAGCATGAGACGTGTCTCCTGGCCACACTCATGGCTGTGAGGTCTATGGCTGCTGTGCAGGGAATGGGCACATCTCATGTGAACAGGAACTGGTGCAGCACAGGCACTGCCTTCACAGCGAGCGAACACCCCGGCTGTGGACGCCCGTGTTCTGCTCAGGGCTGTCTACAGGCGCCGTCCCCAGCTTGGTACCGACCTCCAGCCCTCAGGGGCTGTGCCCATCTCAGCAGCAGGGCTGAGTCTGGACCTGCCATCCTGTCGAGGAGTGCTCAAGGCCAGGTTGGACACAGGGGCTTGGAGCAAGCTGCTCTAGTGGAAGGTGTCCCTGCCTGTGGCAGGGGTTGGAACTGGAGGAGCTTTAAGGTCCCTTCCAACCCAAACCATCCCATCATTCCATTATTCTATGAAGATGCGTGGCTGAGGGCTCTCGGCAGCTCCAGAGCACTGGGGCTGCTCCACAGCATCCTTTGAGTGAACACAGCTCCTCGAGGGACCACATCACTAAGGCAGGGCCACAGACTGTGGGTGGGACCATGCGTGCCTCGGTGGCACCCGTCCCCACCTGCCTGAGCGCATTGTGCTACCCACAACACTCATGAGGGGCCCATTGCCCTCAGGAGCTGTAGTGGTGGACCAGAACCATTGCAAAGCTTGTGTTGGGTGCCTGGCCCCAGGGGCACCCCAGCCCCTCCTGGGACAAGCCCCAGGCTGGATTCAGACCATTCCATCCTCCCCTTCTTTTGGCAGCCCAGGAGAGCCTGCCCCGCACCGTGGCATGGTGTCAGCTGAGTCCCAGCCAGCTCTGTCCTTCCCTGCCCTTGTGCTCACACGGACCAGGGCTGCTCCTGGCAGGGCTTGCCCCATGCTGGTGGCAGCGGGGTTGCCAAAGGGCTGAGCCTGGCTAAAAGACCCGGACCCCAAGGGACAGGGACAGAAGCAGCAGGTCAGGCAGCCCCGCAGCCCGGGTGCTTGTGGATGGAGTCCTAGCTCCCTCCTGGGAAATCATTACCTGTCCTGCCCAGAGGCAGTTGTTATCACATAACCTCTGAACTATTTGCTAGGGAAGGATCAGGACAAGTAAACCAGAGAGTTGCTCAGCCTGGGTTTGGAGGCAGGAGCCAGAGGGTTTGGTTGGCTCAGGGTGCACACAGTCACCACGCAGTGCCATGTGTCGTGGGGGGGACTGGTGCTGATGAGTGCCTGTCCTGCATGGGGATGAGTCCCCCTGGCTCAGGACATCTCTGGACCAGCCACTGTGCAGCCAGAGACCTGGGAAGGTAGTGGACTCTCATTCAGCCCCTTCCCGTGAAGCCACGTGAGTCCAAAGGTGAAGTGTTGTGTGGAGGTGGGGATACAGGAGCAGGGGCATCTCTGGGCTCCAGGCATGCACCCCGCCAGCAGGGCACAACACAAGCACCCAGCTTGGTACAGGCTGCAGACAGACGGGACATGGGGCAGCACCCAGGGAGCGCTGCCCCCCGAATTCACAGCGTGGTGCTTCCTGTGCACACAGGGGGCCTCAGAATCCACCGTCCCTCCGGGCACAGGGAAAGGTGCTCCAGGAAGGTCACATGCAGTGGGGGTCACACGTTTCCCATTTGGCTGAGCTGAGATCAGGCAGCTGGGAACTGAATCCTTCCATCGAGATCGCCCTTGTGATAGCCCTGCAGGCTCTCATCAGGGAGCTGAACCAGCAGCTTCCCTGGGGCCCCCGGAGAGCAGGTCCCGTGTCCAGCAGCCCTGCCCAGCCCGGCTGAGGTCCTGGGGCTGGGGCTGGGCCGTGATTCCCAAGCTGCACCATGAGCCCCCAGCGCATGCCCGGAGCGATGGGAAGCTGTGGGCAGAGCTGGGGGCTGCAGGGACCTGAGCCCTCCCCATCCCTCGGCTCTCCTCAGTGTCCCCGTGTCTGCAGGGATCCCCAGCCAGGAGCAGCCTGTGGCTGAGTCGCACATGGGGAAGGTGAGCAAGGTCCCAGCTGGGCCATGACAGTGTCTTGGCAATGCCCTGGCAAAGCTCAGCGAGAGCTGCTGAGACCCCCGGCAGGGGCATCCTCCTCCTCTGATGGGATTTTCCTTCTAATTGCTTCCTACTTCCTTTGTAATAAAACTTAGCAAGGCACCTACCACTGTGTGTGTGTTTTCAGGGCACTGGATACCGGAAATATCACTGTTCCCTCCCATAGACCTCGTAGAGACCATAATAGAAATAATTATGACTGTGGATAGGAAGAGAACAGAAAGGGGTGCGTGTAAAGGCACAAAGAAGCAGCGAGACAAGGGTTAATAGGAGAGGTGTGTGCTAACTGCTGCAGGGCTCCTGTGTGTGATTTCATTTAAATGAGGAGGAGGAACTAATTGGCTGAAGATGTGTCAAGATGCCAAACCGAGCTGTGAATACACCTGTGAGACAAACGAGAACTCATAGTCAGGAGTCTTGACTGAGGCTGATGAGGTCTGGGACAAAGTAACAGGGAAGAGACTTTCCAGCAGTGTCCGCTTCCCAAGGACACCAAGGCAAGACCAGGGTGGGTTTGCTGCCGGCAGTAGAGGAGCCCAGAGCCACAGCAAGGACTCAAAGCCAGCTCAGAGGGATCCCAGTGTCTGGGGGCTCCTGGAGCAGGGTCTGGCAGTGCTGCAGGTGAGCTGACCCTAGGTGCACCTTTCAGGTAAAATCACCTCTCCTGCTACAGCACCTCGCGCTGAGAGGGTTGGGGTTTCCTGTGGTCCCCTCTGTCTGGGGCACTGCTTCATTCCCTCCTCCTGGCCCTCATCCTTCCAGGTAGTGGTGAGCTGAGCAGGAGCGGGTGCAGGACCTGGGGGACCGTGGGATCCCATCACGGCTGCGCCAGGCTGCTGCGCAGCCAACCCCTCATCTTCCATCCCCCCTGGTTCATCCTAGTTTTGCTTCTCCCAGGGAAAGGTCTGATCATCCATCAGGATCTCCGAGTTGCACAGCTCGATATAGGCTCAGCCTGGGGGCAGCTTTCTGAGCTGCTCTCCTTGCAGCTCTTGCTGACAGCTGGTGTTCTCAGCTGGCCATGTCCAACCACCTCTCTCCTGTGTTTGGGTTTGCAGGAGCCCTCACCACAATGTTCACGAGCAAGAAACACTTCACCAGTGCCATTGTTGGGGCACTGGTCGCACTCTCCCTTATTGCCCTTGTTCTCAGCCTGGTGAGCATTGAAGATGTCACCCTGCCACCCACTGCCAAGGTGAGCCCAAAAGGTCCCTGAACATCACTGCAGAGACCAGTCCCCTTGGGCAGGTGCTCAGAGACCTTACCTACATTGTCTTTGGTCTGGAGGTGAAGGGTTGGTAGTAGCTGGGTGGGTGTTTTCTTCCCATCTCAAGATGCAGAGTAAATACAGCCTGGGCACCTCCAAGTCAGAGGGGGAAGCCTGCTCTGAAACTGGCCACCATGCTATGTGCTGGACATGTTTTGAGGGGATTACCTTGAGACAGATGTATAGGGCAAAGCCCTGTCCTGCTCCCTCTGCCCTCCCATGGCACACCTCCTGATGACACTTGTACCTGCCAGCTCCCACCAGCCTGCCCTGACCCACAGTACAAGCATCCCCTGCAGCTTAGCATCCCTCCCTGGCTGCTGGAAGAGGCTTGGCACAGTTTTAGGGTGAGGTGGAGGGCTTTATGTGGGAGAGGTGTGCAGTTGGGTGCTCCTGGGCTGGGGCTGCTGTGGTGTTGCCTGTCCCTGCCCAGGCTGGGTGCAGCCGTACAGGTAGCAGAGAGCACTGGGGATGGGGGGGTTGCTGGCCCCAAGGTGGGGCTGGTGTAGGCACAAAGGGCTTGTAACCAAGAAAGAAAATAAATAAGGCATGAGGAAACAGCTCAGAAAAGTCAGTGTGAGCTCACGGTGCCGCACAGGCCTTGGGAGAGGGGAATTTCTCCATTGCTGTGAGAAATGCCCATGCCACGGCCAGGTGCTGTCACAGCTCAGCTCTGCCACGCTGCAGATAGCTGAGCCTCAGAGAGTTGAGTTTGGGGCATCTTCTGGCCTCACCACCCTGGCAGGGTCATGGTGAGGCTGGGGACAGGCTGCTGCTCCTCCCACCAATGGGATGTCTGCGTTTTCCCTTGCAGTATGGGATGGTGTTTGATGCAGGCTCATCCCACACCTCTCTGTTTGTCTACGAGTGGGATTCAGACAAGGAGAACGACACCGGTGTGGTCAGCCAGACCTTGTCCTGTGATGTCCATGGTCAGTATCCCCCTGCCATGGGCTCGGTGCTGCCCTGAGTGTCGGTGTGGTGGGTGGGATGACCTGGCCCTTCCTCTTGCTGACTGGCCCATGCTGGGCAGCTTTGTCCATCGTGCTGGCACTGCTGGCACAGGGGGGAGCCCTGGCTGCAGGCAGAGTGGTCCCTGACTCCCCACTGGCTTCACATGTGGTCAGAGAGCCCTCAGGACCATGCAGTGCCACTTGATGGAACTGATGGACCTTGGTGTTCTGGGTTTCCATTCCCGCACCTTGGACTGCCCAAGCTGCTGTCCTGGCTGGGGAAGGTCTCGCCTCTACAGCTGGAGACACTGCTGAAAGCATGGGAGAGGTGGGGAAGCCACAGGAGGGAAATGGGTCAGTCAGGTCCTGGGGGACCAGGGCACCCTGCAGAAGCACCCTTTGTTGCTGACAGATCTCAGTGCCCTGTGCCCTCTTTCTTCCGCATCCCTGTCCCCAGCCGTTTCCATCAGCCTGTCCCAGCCTGACTCTCTTCCAGGACAAGGCATATCAAGCTATGCCAATGATCCCCCGAAAGCTGGTGATTCCATAAGGGAGTGTCTGGATAAAGCCCTGAAGGTTGTTCCTGCTGCAAAACAGAGGGAAGTCCCAGCTTATCTTGGAGCAACGGCAGGAATGAGGCTACTGAGGTATCGCTGGTGGAGCTGGGCTGGGTCAGCCTGGAGAAGAGAAGGCTCCTGAAGGGCAGACCTGAGAGCAGCTCCAGTGCCTAAAGGGGCTGCAGGAAAGCTGGAGAGGGGCTTGGGACAAGGGATGTAGGGACAGGCCAAGGGGAATGGCTTTAACCTGCCAGAGGGGAGACTGAGATGAGCTCTTAGGCAGAAGCTCTTCCCTGTGAGGGTGCTGAGGCGCTGGCACAGGGTGCCCAGAGAAGCTGTGGCTGCCCCATCCCTGGCAGTGTTCAAGGCCAGGTTGGACACAGGGGCTTGGAGCAAGCTGCTCTAGGGGAAGGTGTCCCTGCCCGTGGCAGGGGTTGGAACTGGGTGAGGTTTAAGGTCCCTTCCAGCCCAAATTATTCTATGGTTCTATGATCTGCCCAGATGGATGGTGCTGGTGGGGAAGTTGGGCAGATGTAGGAGGCAGTAAGATGCTGCAGTACCTCCCATTACCTTTCACCAGCCCATATTAGCTTTCCTCAAACGTCAGCCTTCATTTCACGGTGCTTGGTTTTATGGTTGCAGATATGTTACGTTACCTGTGTCCTGGCAATGAGAGCCCTTCCCTGGGAAGGAGCCAGTCATAGCCTGAAGGTTCCTCGCTTCAGAGAGTGAGCACATGCCAGCAGCCCCACACATCTCCCCCACTCAGAGGTCTGAAGCCAGGCCCAGCTCAGCAACCAGCCCTTTGGAGCAGTCAGTGGGGGAATGTTCAAACCTGGGCTTTGCAGCACAAGCTCTTCCCTCCTCCAGCACTATGAAGGTGCTTAGGTAGGGGAAGGTGGCTTCACAGACTAGACCAAGCCATGCTGGAGGGAAGAGATTGATGTTGCTCCTGGATTAGTGATGCCTCACGTAGACAGCTGGGATGCTCGAGCAGCTTTGACAAGTCAATGTAGCAGGAAACATTTCACATAAGCTGCTCGTTGCAGAAAACTGGAGTATGTGGAACTGGGGAAAAAGACTGGTTCCTGGTGCTTCCTTTGTAGTACTGGTGCAGGTGGGTACGTGTCCTGACCTCTGGGCCCTTTCTAGGGAGCAGAACAGCTCAGCAGCAGAGCAAGTCCTGGCTGAAGTCACTAAAACCATGCAAGAGTACCCAGTGGCTTTCAAAGGGGCTCGAATCCTTACAGGAGAGGAGGAGGGGGCTTATGGCTGGATCACCACCAACTACCTGCTGGACTCCTTCACTAAGGTGGGAGAAGGCTCAAACCCCGCCGCACCTTTGCTGATTTTTGGGTTTTCTGATTTTTAAGCTCACTTTGCACAAAGGTCAGCGGCTGCTGGGAATGATCACGGGAAGCAGCCAGTTAGCCTGTGGAGGGAGGAATTGGGAATGGGGCTGTCTGCTAAGAGCTAAGGGCACATCTCCACACGGTGTGGACACAGGGTCTCCTGGGACAGTGACGTCGGCACTGCAGCCTGGTTGGGACCGTTGGCTCCTGCTGGGCTCTGTCCCACTGCCCTGGGAAGGGCTCTCTCCATGTGGCACTGGCAGACCTGATCCAAAGCTCTCTCATGCCACTCTCTGCCCATCACTGCTGCAGCCCGGAGCTCCTGTGCAGGCTGCTGGAGGGATTCTCTAAGCCAGGTCACCACCAGCACTTTGAAATGGGGATGGAGCCATATGAGCCCACAGCTCAGGGGCACATCTTGACCCTCAGAGAGCTGAAAGTCTGCTTTTCCTGGCTCTGACAAATGGCTGGGCAGGGGAGGCCTCCCTTAGGGAAAGAATTGAGTTGAATACCCATTGAATTTAGTAACAAAACCCTATTGGCTTCAATGGGATGAGAATTGTGCTCAGGGCAAGTAAGACCAGCCGTGTGCTTCTCTTCCTCTCCTGTATCCCTTTGGCAGTACTCGCCCAAAGCACACACATGGGTTCATCCAGAGGCAGCCAACATTTTTGGGGCACTGGATCTTGGAGGAGCATCCACCCAAATCAGCTTTATACCCGAAGGTTCAGTGGTGAACTGGAAGGAAGGCTCCAAGTTCACACTGTACGGGTATGACTACAGCATCTACACACACAGCTACCTCTGCTATGGCCAGAACGAGATGCTGAAGCGACTGGCAAAGGAACTGATTGCGGTGAGAGGGGAACTGGGGGGGAATTGGACTCTGGTCTCATGATGCCAGCAACAGGCTTGTTAATAAAGAACAGGCAAAGCTCTTCCAGAGACGCATCAGCAGGGACTGAGAGTAGGTACAGACTCCTGTGGGAGCACAGGGAGGCAGACATGGAGGGGAGCATGGGAAGTGTCAGAAGGGGCAGCTCAGGAGAGACCTTCTGGCTGTACACAGCTGCCTCACACAGGGCGTACAAAAGGCAGGAGCAGGCTCTTCTCAGAGGAGAAAACTAAAAGGGCAAGAGGCAGTGGGCACAAGGTGGAACATTTGGGTTTCCAGCCTATGTCCTATGAAGCCAGGCTGGGAGAGCTGGGCTGGGTCAGCCTGGAGAAGAGAAGGCTCCTGAAGGGGAGACCTGAGAGCAGCTCCAGTGCCTGAAGGGGCTGCAGGAAACCTGGAGAGGGGCTTGGGACAAGGGCCTGTAGGGACAGGCCAAGGGGAATGGCTTTAACCTGCCAGAGGGGAGACTGAGATGAGCTCTTAGGCAGAAGCTCTTCCCTGGGAGGGTGCTGAGGCGCTGGCACAGGGTGCCCAGAGAAGCTGTGGCTGCCCCATCCCTGGCAGTGTTCAAGGCCAGGTTGGACACAGGGGCTTGGAGCAAGCTGCTCTAGTGGAAGGGGTCCCTGCCCGTGGCAGGGGTTGGGACTGGGTGAGTTTTAAGGTCCCTTCTAACACAAACCAGGCTGGGACCCTGTGATTCTATGACTCAAATACAGGGGAAATGTTTTTCCCAGTGGGAATGGTGCTGGTGGAGCACTGGGGGGCTCCTGTGCCTGAGCTGCAGTCAGCAGGGGTTGGAGGAGGCTGCAGCCTGCGGTTTTGCTGTTCCCAGGAGTCGTCCCCCAGTGCCCGAGTCCATCACCCCTGCTACCCAACAGACTACAATGAAACCGTGTCGCTGTCTTCCTTCCGCACCAGCCCCTGCACGAACCAGAGCGACCCACGCCTGGGCCCTGGCGACAGGAACGTCACCCTGGAGGGCAGGGGCGATGCCAGCGGGTGCCTGGCCGCCGTCAAGAAGCTCTTCAACTTCTCCGCGTGTGGCCAGAGCCAGGACTGCACCTTCGATGGCATCTACCAGCCGCCGGTCAGAGGGCAGTTCATTGTAAGGCGAATCCTGTCCTCCCACCTCCATGGCAGAGCATGTGCTGTGGTGTCCCTGCGTGCCCCGTGGCATTGCCACCTCCCCACAGCAGAATGGGGGCAAACATCCCCCAAGTTATCCCCGCCCCAGGGCACACCAGGGATTGCTGCTGCCTCATTTTCCAGCCAGGTCTCCGAATGGGACCATGTTAACGAAACCGGTGAGAAGCCACATCCCAGGTTTTCAGTAATAAAGCCCAGCTTAGCCAGCAGCCTTCAGGCAAGGCACTGGATGTGCTGCTGTAGCCAGCAGGCACCTACACCCTGGCCCATCACCTCTGCTGAGACATGGACAGTGATGCCCTGGGGCTATACCAGGGTAGGACAAACTGCAGCTGCCTGGTGTTGGTCTCCACTGTAGCTCAATGCTGTTTCTGCCTCTCGCCTTTCAGGCCTTCTCTGCCTTCTACTATAACTTCAAGTTCCTCAACCTGACCAAGGGGCAGACGCTGGCCGCTGTCAGGGAGACCATTGAACGTTTCTGCACGAGAAGCTGGGAAGACGTATGTTCCTCATGGTGGGAGGCAGTGTGGAAGCTTCACAAGCAAAGGGGCCCTGGGGTGGGGGAAGAGGAGCAGGGACCCTTCCATGGCAAAGGACCCTGGTTGCTGAGCTGTGCCTGACACAGCGCAGCCATCTCTGAGCAGTGTGTGAGAGCCAGGGCTGTCCTGCGCTCACCTTGGGGACCTTCCTTGTTCATCATTATATAAGCAAGGAACTTGAGTTGGGAAAGGGGCAGCCAAGGCAGGTGAAGTCAGCAGAATCTCCCCTCCAGCACAGGAGCTGGGGATGGAGGTGGGTCTGCAGCACTGGAGGATGGTGAGGGGAGACCCAGCTGCTGGCACCACTCTGGAGGCAATTCAAATGAGGATGGATAAGGCTAAGAGCTGTGCTAAGATCACCATGGGGCAGAGAGGAGGAGCCCCTTCACAAGGAGGCTGAGATGGGAGAACGTGGGGCAGGAGGAGCGCTGGAATGTCTCTGTTCCCGTGTAGGATATAAATCTTCAAAGGAGCTGCCTTATGTGGAACAGGTCCCAAATACCTGCCTGGTCCAGAGTCTTTTTCCAGATGCTGGTGACTGCAGTGCCATTGTCCCTCCCGCAGCACTCGTCAGGGCATTGTCCCTGCACGAAAACTGCCTGCGAGTAACCTCCCCCCTCCAAACATCTCCCCACCCCAGCTCTCCGCCAGCTACCCTGAAGAGAAACCTCAGCGCCTGCCTAAGTACTGCACCAATGCCAACTACATCCTCACCCTCCTCCTCGATGCCTACAAGTTCAATGAGACGAGCTGGAGCAACATCATCTTCCAGATGAAGGTAGGCAGCAAATGCAGCCTGTGGGCAGGAGCAGAGGAGGAAAAGAGCCAGCTTCCCACGCCGGGTGATGCGAGAGCTACGCTCCAGGAAGCCACTCTCTGGGCTGCGGCCGGTGCTGCTGCTGTGGCTTTCCTGCAGGGTAACTCGCGTCCCCTCTTCCTGGGCAGGCGGGGAGCGCCGACGTGGGCTGGACGCTGGGGTACATGCTCAACCTCACCAACATGATCCCAGCCGAGGCCCCGGTGTGGGTGAAGGGGCACGTTCCTTCCCTGTGGGCTGCGGCCATCACCTTCATCATCCTCACCCTTGTCCTGGGACTCACTGCCCTGCTCCTGCTCCTGTGGGTGTAGGAGCCTGGCCACGTTTCAGAGCCCGGTAGGTGTGGATCCACTGATGGTGGAAAGCCATCAGTGCTGGGTCCTCCTTCCTTGTGCCCCCGGAGCTGGCAGCCTGGGGCTGGTTCGGTGATGCTGAGCATTCGACAGCACCGAAGAACTGAGGTAGTGTCCTATGGGACTGCCCCCCCCATGCAGATAGGCACTATGCGAGGTTTCCATTGGAGCTCTGCCTACACACCACAGGAACCCTGGCTGTGCCCATCTGCCTCCTTATTTTGCTATGCCTGTTACAGGTGTGGCCTCCATCCCACCAGCTGGCCTGTGGGGCCATGGAGAACCAGCCTGGCCACGGACAAGCTCCCCGAGTGCCAGACATAATGCACTGCTGCAAGCACTTGTGACTGGGTGCTTGGTGCAATGCTGGGTCTGGTTATGGTCACCAACAGCCCAGCAGGTGCCTGTGAGGGGCATGAAATGCTCTGCAGTACCACATCTGGCTCTCCTGAGGGTGAATCACGTGGACTTACCTGATGGTATTGGAGACAGAAGCAAAATTGAGCATCCAAAGTCAGAAACATGGTCTATGCCTCCCCAAGGGTCTGTCTTGTCCCATCACATCTTCCCTTTCTTCTGGGATAAAGGGATCTATGTTTCTGAATGTCTGCCTGGAGAAAAACACTGTCCCACCGTCTGGGTAGTGGGACATTCATATGTCCCATCACCTGCAAACACTGTCCCACCATCAGGCTGGACACCATGGGGTCAGGCTCCTAGTCCTGCCCTGACCCTGCCCACGGGGCTGAGCTGGATCCTGCCCACAACTGCCCCCCTGCCTTTGCCTTGGGGTCTACTTGGGTTTTGTCTGCCTGCAGGTGATTCAGTGGTGCTGTGCCTCTCAGCAGTGAGGAGCTGACTGTTGGTGCCTCAGGCATCCAAATAAATCGTGTGAAAGGCAGTGATGGGGAAATGCTGTTGCTTTGCTCCTGCACAGTCATGACTTTGTGGTTTCCATCTCGCAGGTCAGGGTTGGTGATGACAACAGGGACTCAGGGGACAGTCACCGTTGCTCAGTTCTGCCGCAGATGCCCCTGAAGCCCCTGCAGTATCTGCCAGATGCTGAAGAGAAGCCAGCAGGGCACCAGGACAGGCATTTTGCTGCTGAGAGCCGGGGTGTCTCACCTCACCCAGCCCCTGGCTGCCGGTGGGACTCCCCAGAACTGTAAGGGAGCCCTAACCCGTCCTGGCAGCATTCCCAAATCACCTGTGTGCTTGGTCCCTGCTGGTGCCAGGGGTTGGAACCAGATGATCTTGAAGCCCTTTCCAACCCAAACCATTCTGTGACTCTATGAAAGGGAGGGTGAGATGTCTGCGGGGCACAGACATGGGCTGCAGCTGGACTGGAGAGGAACCTCGTGCAGGAGAGCAGGGGGCTGCTGCCATCCCCCACCTCCCAGGGCTTCCCAGTCATGGGGAGAGCCCAAGACCCATCTCTCCTGCATAGCCCCAGTGCTGCTGCCCCTCTGCCCGATGCTGGCAATGCAATGGCCAATGCAGCCCCTTGGCCTGGGATGGCCAGGTCATGTCTCCCCCACATGGGGTATCTGCTGCAGGCTGTAACCAGCCCCGTTTCCATTGCTGAGAGTCACCCCTTCTCCCTGACCTGCCACCTTCAGCCACCCCACATCGCTGCAGTCCCCATGCCACCAGCACTGAGCCCCTGTCCCACGTGGCCATGCCCTCCCTCCTAGAGCATCTCCAGCCAGCAGCAAGGGGAAGGGAAAACCAGACAGCGCAGATACAGGGCAGAGATTTTAAAGCCTGTGCCAGTTCCAGCTCACCAGGCCAGGACGCAGGTACCCACGTTACCAGTTCGCAGCTCCTGGGCACAGGGGGGGTTCCCTGCTCTGCAGCTCCTCACACGAGTGCAGCAGCAGGACCAAGCGCTTGGGCTGCCCCTGGGGCCGGCACTGCTAGAGACTGACATAACCGGAGGAGCTTTTCTGGCAGCACGTGAGTGCGAGCAGGCAGAAGGTGAGGATGAGCATGGTGGCCAACAGAACCGTGGCTGCTATCCAATTGCTTCTCTGGAGCCCTACGACCCTCTGGGGAATCTCCGAGGGAATCATGTTGGTGAGGTTGAGCATGTAGCCCAGAGTCCAGCCCACGTCTACACCAGTGACCTGTGCAGACACACAAGGAAGAGGGATGGGAAAGGCTGCAAAGACAGAGTAGCCAAGGCAAAGGTAGGTGCGAAGGCCACCCCTGGGCATGGGCAACAGGCTGTGCTGCCCTGTCACCCGCTGCTCCTGTGCTGCAGCACAGGGTGGGCATGAGCCCTTTCATGGCGTGGGCTGGGAGCTGGGAGCTGCCGGGCACATCCCTACCTGCCGGGCGAAGTGGATGTTCAGCCACGTCGTGTGGTTGAATCCGAAGCCCTGCAGGAGCAGGGTGAGCGCGTAGGTGCTCGCTGCACAAGCATCACGGAGCTGGATCCTGCTCACGCTGGGGAACTCCTGCTGCACCTGCAGGGGTGGAGCAGTGCTTGGAGCACCCACACTGCCAGGAAAGCACCACAGTGCAGCCCGGAGCAAAGACCCGGCACGGCTGGGCCTGGGGAGCCGCGAGGCTGCTCTCCTGTCCCTCCTGGCCAGGGATCCTTGTGCTCCTCCCTGCTCCCTCCAGAGGATGCGCTCTGGATGAGCCCCAAGCTGCGCAGTGTCCAGGCACAGCAAGGGCAGGGGCTGCCATCCCCTGGGCAGGATCTCACCTTCTCCCAGGTGCTGGTGCAGAACTGCCCGATGGTGGCATTGACCAAGCTCAGGGGCTGCCCTCCCGTCAGGCTCAGGAAGTGAAGGCTGTGGTAAAGCCCTGAGAAGGCCTGTGGGTGGTTAAGACCCAGGGTGTCAAGTTAGCAAAGCACCCAGGGCTCTGCCACAGCACCAGCCCTGGGCAGGCATCCCTGAGGCCACCCTCAGCCTGTCAAACCCACTGGGACTGCTGCCCACACCGAAAGAGATGGGTGCTGTGACAGCAGGGATGTGGGTCTGCCTGGTGAGGACCCTGCACATCTCCATGCATCAGGCACATCCAACATCCCATTGCTCCTACAGCAGTTTTCCCGGGTCATGGCCAGCTTCTGGTGTCCCAAAACCCCACAACTCCCCCCAGAAACAGGGACGGAGGCTCCTTACAAAGAACTGTCCCCGCACGGGCGGCTGATAGACCCCGTTGAACCCACACGTGCTGTTGGCCCCACAGCTGAGGTTGAAGAGCTGCTGCACGGCGGCGCTGCACGCTGCTGGCTCCCCTGTCCCCATCACCCTGAGGAGCTGCGCGGCGCTGGGGCTGCTCGGGGCACGCACACAGGGGCTGTCGTAGAGCTCTGCCGTGGTGATGTTCTCCTGGTACCCCCTGGGGTAGCAGGGGTGTGAGATCTGAGCAGCGGACGGGCTGGCCTGGAGAGAGCAGCAGCGTTAGCATCACCCTGGCCCTGAGGATGGAGATGGATAGGAGAGAAGCAGCCCACAGAGAGCGCCTGTTCCCACAGCAGGACACCAGCATGCTGGCCCCACCACCCATGGGGTGCAGCTACAGAACTGGGGACAAACAAGGCACAACCACACTGGTCAGGGGGCAGCTGCATGCTCAAGGCCTTGGGGGCGTGCACTCTGTGCTGAGCATGGACCCATTTTGTCCCCTCTCTCCTTTGTAGGATCAGCAGACCTCTGCTTGGGTGTTCACCTCCATCTCAGTACAGTCCTGTTCTTGGATGTTGGGACCCCCCGGGGACTGCCTCCTGCCATGGTGACACTGTTGTATCCACCATCCTCACTGGGGCTTGCACCAGCCCAGCAGCCATGACACCCAGTGGGTGCTGCCCACCAAGCTCCATAGATCAGGGTTCAGGCTGCAGGAGAGGAGCACAAGGCTGGGGTCAGTTACCTGGTGTAAGGAAGCCATCAGCATCTTCAGGGCTTGCTTTTGCCCGTAGCAGAGGTAGCTGTGGGTGTAGATGGAGTAGTTGGCCCCGTACAGCCTGAGGAGGGCTCCTGTGCTGCTGTCTTCTATGGGGGTCCCAGGAAGGAACGTGATCTGGGTTGAAGCCCCACCGAGGTCCAAAGCTCCAAGCACATCCTCTGCAGGCGGGTGGGTCCATGTGCCTGTGAGGGAGCACTGCCCCGCACCGGGAGTCACGCACAAGGACCCGGCACGGGGGTACCAGCTTCCTGCACAGCCTGCGGAGGGGACAGCCCCCGAGCCCGCTGCCTGCCCGCACCTTGACGAGTGTCTCCAGCAGGAAGTTGACGCTGATCCAGCCGAAGGAGCCCTCCTCGTTCCCCGTCAGGACCTGAGCTCCGCGGAACTCCACCGGGTACTCGCCAATGGTCTTGGCCACCTCGGCAAAGACCTGCTGGGCCTTGGTGCTGTTCTGCTCCCTGCCCGGGGAAGGAGATGGACACCGCGAGTGGAGGAGGCGATGGCCGCGCAGCTCCAGCGCGGGGCTGACAGCGAGCGGCTGCGGCTGCTGCCAAGGAGCAGAGACGGGGCAAAGCCAGCAGATCCCTCCTGTGCTGCGCTGGGAGTGCCCCTAAAAATGCTGCCTGTGGGCTCGGCCTGAGAACACAGGAAGGGTCATGGCAAGTCTGGCAAAGGAGGTGCTGGCAGAGGAGGCCACGGAGATGCTGTGATGGCTGGAGCAGCTCTGCTCTGGAGCCAGGCTCCTGAAGGGGAGACCTGAGAGCAGCTCCGGTGCCTAAAGGGGCTGCAGGAAACCTGGAGAGGGGCTTGGGACAAGGGCTGTGGGGTTTCCCTATGGGCACAGTGAGTGTCTCTCTTGGACACCCCATAGGCCACACACGTGGATGCTCTGCCCATCCCCGTGGGCTCCGGGACAGCCCCCCTGCTGTGCGCAGCCCCTTGTGCCCCCAGCCCCATCCCAGCCCCTGCCCAGGCTCCGGTGCAGGAGACGTGGTGGGAAGGGTGGAGGTGCCGGCTCCGCGCTGTGCTGTACCTCAGCAGCCGCATGCCCGCTGTGGCCCCCAGGTAGGTGGGGGTCTCCCGCTGCTGCTCTGCCGGGATGATCTCCATGGCCTTGTCCAGGCAGGGCTTCAGGCTGGCTCCGGCCCCGGCGGGGTCGTCTGCGTAGCTGGAGATGCCGGGTCCTGCAGGAGAGCCCCGTGTGATGGAGCCAGGTCAGTGACACACAGGAGGGATGGAACAGCAGGGACATGCACACCCCTTCACCAGGCCCAGGTTGCTCTCTGGAGCAATTTGGCAGATGTTCTGGTCACAGCCCCAAACTCTGCTGTGTTTGATGCCATAGAGATAGTAAAATGAACACCACTGACCCAGGGGGGCGTTAGGAACCACATATGGAAAAACAGCAGAACTGCAGTCATGTTTAGGGACTTCTGCAGAGCTTTTAGGAGGTCCCATGGGTATATATAGGGATAAGACAAGGGTGATTTAAGCTAACAGAGGGGAGACTGAGATGAGCTCTTAGGCAGAAGCTCTTCCCTGTGAGGGTGCTGAGGCGCTGGCACAGGGTGTCCAGAGAAGCTGTGGCTGCCCCATCCCTGGCAGTGTTCAAGGCCAGGTTGGACACAGGGGCTTGGAGCAAGCTGCTCTAGTGGAAGGGGTCCCTGCCCATGGCAGGGGTTGGAACTGGAGGAGCTTTAAGGTCTCTTCCAACCCAAACCACTCTGTGATTCCAGCTTACGGAAGAAGCTGTGAAGAGTTGTGTGGGAAGAAGATCCAAGGAAGCAGTTATATGGGAGAGGAGCAACCTCTGCCCATCCAGCATCCCAGGCTGTGAGTTGATGCAAAGCCACCATGTGCAAGGCAGAACTTGGCTCCAGGAACCACGCTAACAGGGCCAGTATCCTCACCCACCTTTGCATCCCACAGTTACTGTGGTACCCTGAGGTGCAGACCGTCCCCTCAACACTTTTCTTTGGTGCTCCCACCAGGCCACCTCCCTTTTTCCCAGCACAGGCTGAAAGACTGAGCTCACTCGTGATGCTGTGAGTCTGGGACAGTGATCCAGGAACGTGGGACAGAGGGACAGCACATCCCGGCACTCACCGGCTGCAATGCAGGCCTCCACCTGGGACACGATGCCGGTGCCGTTCTCCTTGTCCGCAGGCCACCGGTAGATGTAGAGAGCCGTGTGCGTGGAGCCGGCGTCAAACACCAGCCCGTACTGGGGGCAGAGGGGGACACGGGTCACAGCACGCTTGGGCTGAACCGAGTCCCTCGGGGGGTTCTGAGGCTGCTGCTCTTTGCTCTCCATGTGTGCACATGAGCAGCACAGGTCTGCGTGCCCAACCTCCCTCCAGCTCCGAGCGCCCTGATTTTGCCAAAGGAGCTGCAGCTCAGGAAGGAAAGACGTGCAGGTCAGCAGGGTGATCTGCAGGGCAGGAAAGCAGCCAGGCACCCGTCCCAGAGCTGCTCCCACCCCTGCGGGAACAGAAACTCTCACAAGCCCTGACTGCTTTTAACAATCAGGCAGCAGAAAGCGACAGGAGAGATGAAACCCCACCAGGTGACCAGGGCGGCTGAGAAGAGGAAATGAAGTGTTTGGGGTGCGGATGGAGCAGCTGTTCTCCCATCCTTAGCGAGGAGCCGGGACCATGCCTGAGGGGGTGATTGATGTACCTCCATCAGGTGAAGCCCTGGTAGGGGTGGCTGGGGGAAGATTTGCAGGCGGGGCGGAGGGCAGAGCTGGTGGAGGGGCGAGAGGTGGGAAGGAGCCGGAGGTTCCACCGGGCACCTACTTTGCTCCTGGCAGGAAGGGCAGCGTCCTTCGCCGGGGTCAGGAGCAGGAGGAAGGCGGCCACCGCCAGCGCCCCCAGCGCAGCCACCGAGCCGCAGCCCAGCGCCCTGAGCGCGGGGCTCTGCATCCCGCAGCCGGGACGGCCTCTGCCAGGGCAGCCCCAGCCCCTCCCTGCTCCCCTGGTGCCAGCGGCGCCCCGGGACACGGCGGGAGCGGGACCGCGACCCTGCCCCGGGGTCCTCAGCGGAGCAACGCCGGGGGCAGCGGCTGAGCGCGGGAGGAGCTGCCCGGGCCCAAGGGGGAACGGCCGGGTCCCGGCGCTGCCTGCGCTGCCTGCGCTGCCTGCGCTGCCTGTACCCGGCCCGGGGCAATGCAAAGCGAAAGTGCGGCCTGAACCGACGCCGCGTGTCCGGGTTCCCTCCCGGGACGGCCCGCGGCAAGGGCGGGGCAACCCCGCGGCCTGCCCGCACCGCTTCCTGCACCCTGCCTCTACCTCTGCCTGTGCCCTGCCTGCACCCTGCCTGCACCACCCCAGGGAGATGGGACGCTGACAACGGGGACTCATCCCTGGCCATGGGGATGGGTCTCTGGCTGTGGGGCACCCTGGCCATGGGGATGGTTCCTCACCTGCCGGCTCACTGTCTTGCGCCGCTGTCCCTGCCTGCACTGGGGCAGCACTAGGTGACAGCAGGGTGTGGGTGACCAGCTCGGTCCATGCTCCATGGGGCAGTGTGCTTCTGCAGCAGGTCTGGGGCAGGGATGGCTGAGGGTCTCTCTGACCTAAGCCGCTGCCTTCACCCAAGGGCCAGGCCACCCGCAGGCTCCCCGAGGGGCAGGGATGCAGGCTCAGCTCAGCCTGAGCTTCCCAGGGAGCTGCCCCACAGCATGGCCGGCACCCCATGGGTGGACATGTCCAGCAGGCAAGTGGTTAACACCGGACGCAATTCCCATTCCACCCTGGCTCTCCAGCCCCGCTGCCTCCTGGACAAGGCTCTCCTGGGCAGGTTGCTGGTCCCAAGCCAAGGGGAGGGCCATAGCGGGGACCGGGGCAGCCTTTGTCCCAGGAGCGGGCTCCACACTCCAAGTACACGGTGACACGGGAGGGCGGCGGAGCCGGGAGCAGCCAGGGTGAGCCTGGGCAGGGAAGGGGCTTGGGGGGCCCTAGATGGAGCTTGGCTCGGAGGGGGTGGTGGGTCAGCACTGGAGCCTGTGCTGGAGACAGACATGCTCAGTGGGCTGCAGGTGCAGGAAGCAGCAGGCTGGGGGGCACGGGGGTTACATGGACAGGGCATGGAGGGCACTGCTGTGCCCCAGCACTGGTGGGAGAGATAGGAGGCAGGGACCGCTCTGCCTGGCATGGATGCTCACAGCGCTCACCCCCACCCTCGTTCTTACACTCTAAAGAGCCCCTTTGACTTACACATCTCACATGCACAGGGTGGGAGCTCAGCCCCGTTGTCCCGAGCACCGGCAGCGCCTCCGAGCCTGCCCTCCTGCGCCAGGGGCGCTGCAGGTGAGGGATGTCCCGCGGTGCTGTCGGAGCACTTGTGGTTCCAGCTCACACAGACAAGGGCAGGCACGGCCCAGGCTGGGCACAGCTGGGAACCTTCCCCACGGGCACTGCTCCCTGTGGGCTGTGCAGCCCCTTCTGCAGCTCTGGAGGCATCACCATCACCATCACTTCCCGTCCCTGCAGCATGTGGATTCAGCCCCGGCCAGCCCCGAGGTGCCACAGAAAGCCTGGGCAGATGGATCAGCTTCTCACATGCTTCTTGCCTTGTTTTCCACCACTTGGGCTCCCTCCCCATGGCCTGCTGCCCTCCCCGGCTCTGTACTGCCTTTGGATGCTGGCTCCTGCCCAGTCCAGATGGAGTTTAGTCCCTATCAGAGCAGGTGGAGCCCATTTCCCACCTGCTCCCATGTGCAGGATGTGCAATCTATCTCCATTTCACATCATTCTGTTGCACAGTGCCTGGGACAGGGTTTTCCAGGATGTGGGCTGGGCTGGGCTTTATTGTGTTACCCGGAGCAGGGAAATCCCATCCCCATGACACAGCTGTATCTAGGCAAACTCTAGGCTGATAGGACTGGAGACATGGCAATATAGGGATTCATCAGCTGCTTCCATATGTTCTCTTCTGGCCATAGCCACCACACAGGGCAGGGCTCCCTGATAAGGGTTTCCTGTCGTCCTGTGTCCCATGACGTGGGCCAGAAGAACAGATCCATCATTACACATCTCATGTCATGCAGGGTATCGGTCACCCTTGTTCGTCACTGGAGATGCTGACACTGAACCAGGAATCAGCGTCTCCTCTGACCTTGCCAAAGGTCACCTCTGGTTCCAGCCACTGACCTGCCAAAAGGGCAAGGGAATTTCTCTGTGGTTCTATGAACTCACAGGAGAATTGTGCAGCCAAGGGACAGCCCCCAGGTGCCACCCCAGAGCTCCGGGTGGTTCAACCGCCTCTCTAGGCTGTGTCCAGGCTCTCGGGACATCCACTGCTCAGCCCAAGGCTGTGGAGGAAGCCAGCCCATGGTGGCATGGGGCAGGGTGCTGAGGAAAGCACATCTGGACCAGCTGGGGTGCTGCTGTGTGCTGAGGCCATTGCAGAGAAACAGATCCTTTGGCTTTGCTTCTCTGCTGCAATTTCTTCCCAATGCCTTAGGCTGACCCTGCTGGGAGCTGAGCTCCAGCCAGACAAGCAGGAGGTGCAGAACCCCCTCCCATCTCTAGGGCTCCTCTGCACCCACTGGCTGGGCTGCCCGTGTGATGCTGTCACTGTTGGTATCCCAGCTTGGCTGCAGGGCTGTGTGTGACCCAGTCCGCAGGAGCCTCCTGCCTCTGCCCTTCTGCCTGCCCTTGGTGCTGCAGGAGAGGCTTGGGGGTCACCTGCAGGCAAGGGAATGTCCCTGTGTGTATGCTTACCTGCTGTGGCATCACCCGGAGCAGAGGTGAGGAAGACGGGGCTCTAGATGCTGTTCCCCTGCCTGGAGCAGAGAGGACCGGGAGCAGGGACAGTCTGGGCCTGTTGGGCAACAGATGTTGCCTGCTGGTCCCAGATCTTGTGGGACGGGTTCTGTGAGGATGCAGGGGACGACGAAGGGATGTGGCTCTGCATCCAGGAGGGGACGGCCACAGTGGGAAGCTGCCAGGGCAGGGTCCTGCTCCTAATGCTTCCCCCAGCCTTGCAGTTGGAGCAGGGCAGAGGGATGGGGACTGTGTGCAGAGAGGAGCCCAAAGGGCTGCAGCTGAGGCAGTAAAGCCAGGCTGCAAATTCCACAGGGAGGGAGTGCTCAGCAGAGCAGGGTGTCCCAGCCTGAGACTGCCAAAAGAGCAGCCATGCCCTAGAGAATGGCTTCAGGCCTTGCTAGGGAATGGGAAAGTCCCATATCCATATGTGGGATTTGCATTTCCCATAACCATATATGAGATTTGTATTTTAGAACTGGCTTTGCAAGTGCAGAGGTGGGAGCATGTTGTTGGGGCTGTTCTTGCAGGTTGGAGGAGGAATGGACCACAAAGCCAAGGTCCTTGCAGGTCTCCTGGCAGCCACTTGTGTCTTCAGCTTCATTGCCCTGATTCTGAGCATCGTGAATGTGAAGGATGTGATTCTGCCTCCCAGCACCAAGGTAGGGTCCTTGGGAGGAGGTGCCTGCTCTCACATGGGTGCTGGCTGCCCCCTGGTAGAGGATTTTCCCTGGGTTTCAGGCAGGCTTGAGCCCAGAAAGCTCCGAGAGCTGGAGCAGCTCTGCTCTGGAGCCAGGCTGAGAGAGCTGGGCTGGGTCAGCCTGGAAAAGAGAAGGCTCCTGAAGGGGAGACCTGAGAGCAGCTCCAGTGCCTAAAGGGGCTGCAGGAAACCTGGAGAGGGGCTTGGGACAAGGGCCTGGAGGGACAGGCCAAGGGGAATGGCTTTAACCTGCCAGAGGGGAGACTGAGATGAGCTCTTAGGCAGAAGCTCTTCCCTGTGAGGGTGCTGAGGCACTGGCACAGGGTGCCCTTAGAAGCTGTGGCTGCCCCATCCCTGGCAGTGTTCAAGGCCAGGTTGGACACAGGGGCTTGGAGCAAGCTGCTCCAGTGGAAGGTGTCCCTGCCCGTGGCAGGGGTTGGAGTTGGAGGAGCTTTGAGGTCCCTTCCAGCACAAACCAGGCTGGGAGTCTATGGGGACAAGCTCCTGCACAGGCTGCCCTGCGTCTGGCAGAGTTCTGTCACTGCCTGATGCTAGAGCACATTCAGCCTCTTCACTGGAGCTCAAAGGGCTCGTGGTGGATCCTTGTCCTCAGCACAGTGAGTGCAGTACCACAGGGCTCTCCCTCTTCTGGTGCCACTCTTGACCATCTGAGGTTCCCCTGCTCCAGGAGCTCTGCTGGCGGCACCCCCTGACAGTCCCTGTCCCCTCTGCCCCCAGTACGGGCTGGTGTTTGACGCCGGCTCCACGCACACGGCTCTCTACATCTACCGGTGGCCTGCGGACAAGGAGAACGGCACCGGCATCGTGTCCCAGGTGGAGGCCTGCACTGCAGCCGGTGAGTGCCGGGATGTGCTGTCCCTCTCCCTGCCCCTGCTCTGCGCAGGGACCCTTCAGCAGGGCGCCTGCCCTGCAGCACCAGGCGGGGTTGGCTGGTTCGTGCTGGGTGAGGTGAATGGTGAATACCCCAAGGGCAGTTATTCATCTGCTGGGTATTTAGAAATACCCAAAGGCCCATCTATTCCTCTTGCAAAGGGGCTCTCAGACTGGTATTTCTGGAGGGAAGGACCAGGCTGCCGAGGGAGGTAGGGTCAGCTAAATGGTACACGGAGCTGCGCTGGGACTGGCAAAAGCCACCAGGCAAGGGCAGAGGTGCCAGGGCAGGGGCTGGGAGGGCTCCGAGCTCACCTTAACCTCACACCCAGGCAGGTCAGTTACTGGTTAACTGAGGGGGTCCGTCAGAGAGCAAAGTGTAATGGAGATGGGCTAATAGCACTAATGGTGTGCAGAGCTGGGGGAAGGTAAATAGTGGTATTGACAGCCCAGAGCCTGTCCCTGCTCTCCACAGGACCACGCTGGGTGTTCAGATCTGCTGCCAGCTTCCAAAAATAGGAACTCAAACAAGCTGTGAGAGGTTACCTCTGCATGTGCATACACTCCACACACAGCAGGACAAAGGAGAGCCTGCCCCTTCCCAAAGGAATAGGGAAGTGCTGTGTTTGCTGAACGAGTCCTGCAGGAATGCCAGGCTGTGTCAGGCAGTTCCACCTACCTGCATTAAACAAGAGCTCGGCATCACAAGGCACACTGCTGCCCTTCCACTGTGTGTGGAGCAGGAGCTGCCTGTGGCTGTGGCACACGTGCTGCCTCCAGGCAGGTCAGCTCTGAGCACTGCCCGGCCAGGACACCCATGCAAGGGCATGAAGAGACTGGGAATGCAGGGACAAACCCCTGGGGGCTTCATGCATTGACAGCCCTGCACTATCCCATCCCTCCTGTGTGTCACTGACCTGGCTCCATCACACGGGGCTCTCCTGCAGGACCCGGCATCTCCAGCTACGCAGACGACCCCGCCGGGGCCGGAGCCAGCCTGAAGCCCTGCCTGGACAAGGCCATGGAGATCATCCCGGCAGAGCAGCAGCGGGAGACCCCCACCTACCTGGGGGCCACAGCGGGCATGCGGCTGCTGAGGTACAGCACAGCGCGGAGCCGGCACCTCCACCCTTCCCACCACGTCTCCTGCACCGGAGCCTGGGCAGGGGCTGGGATGGGGCTGGGGGCACAAGGGGCTGCGGGCAGCAGGGGGGCTGCCCCGGAGCCCACGGGGATGGGCAGAGCATCCACATCTGTGGCCTATGGGGTGTCCAAGAGAGATGCTCACTGTGCCCATGGGGAAACCCCACAGCCCTTGTCCCTCCAGGCCCTTGTCCCAGGCCCCTCTCCAGCTTTCCTGCAGCCCCTTCAGGCACTGGAGCTGCTCTCAGGTCTCCCCTTCAGGAGCCTTCTCTTCTCCAGGCTGCCCCAGCCCAGCTCTCTCAGCCTGGCTCCAGAGCAGAGCTGCTCCAGCCCTCACAGCATCTCTGTGGCCTCCTCTGCCAGCACCTCCTTTGCCAGACTTGCCATGACCCTTCCTGTGTTCTCAGGCCGAGCCCACAGGCAGCATTTTTAGGGGCACTCCCAGTGCAGCACAGGAGGGATCTGCTGGCTTTGCCCCGTCTCTGCTCCTTGGCAGCAGCCGCAGCCGCTCGCTGTCAGCCCCGCGCTGGAGCTGCGCGGCCATCGCCTCCTCCACTCGCGGTGTCCATCTCCTTCCCCGGGCAGGGAGCAGAACAGCACCAAGGCCCAGCAGGTCTTTGCCGAGGTGGCCAAGACCATTGGCGAGTACCCGGTGGAGTTCCGCGGAGCTCAGGTCCTGACGGGGAACGAGGAGGGCTCCTTCGGCTGGATCAGCGTCAACTTCCTGCTGGAGACGCTCGTCAAGGTGCGGGCAGGCAGCGGGCTCAGGGTGAGCAGTGACATCCCTGTGTGCGCCCCAGCCAGGTTTCTGTATTCCCAGACACGAGGAATACGTAGGTGCAGGGTGCTTGTCACAGGTACATGTAGCCTGTGCTTGTGAGCTGCATGTGATTAACTCAATCAAGGGTCTCTGTGTCCCTTTGCCTGGCCCTGTGCTCTCTACCTACACATGGATAAGGTTTGGTATCGCAGGGATACAGTAGCTCCATACCCCAGATCAAAGCTTTACTCTTTACCTCCTCAAAGTCTCTGTATTCCAGCTGATGTGCAGCAACCAAGGGAACAGACCTCAGCCACTGCTACACAGACATCTCTGTGGGTTGAGGAGGGTGTAGGCAGGAAGGGCTTAAACAGGGAGACGGGACATGCAAGGTCCCTCAGGGACTTCTGAGCCCACAAAGCATGGAGGAAAGGAACAGGGACCGTGACTGCAGCTCAGACTAACACTTGCTGTCCTGTCGGGCCAGTATTCCTTTGCAGAGAAATGGGAACATCCGCAGGATGCTGAGGTTCTCGGAGCTCTGGACCTTGGAGGTGCCTCAACACAAATAACCTTCCAGCCTGGAGTCACCATTGAGGACAAGAACACCTCTGTCTTCTTCAGGCTGTATGGCACCAACTATTCGCTCTACACCCACAGCTACCTCTGCTATGGGCAGACACAGGCCTTGAAGAGGCTGCTGGCAGCTCTCCACCAGGTACCGCAGGCTGGAGCTGGTTGCCAGGAGCTGCTCAAGCACTTCCCATTGCCATCAACATCTTCCAGAAATTTTGGGCATTCCAGTTGAAAAAGTGTTAAGGAATTGGGAATTCAAAAACCTTGGAGAAGCTTAGATTTTCTCTGCTGAACCAAAATGCTCTCTCATTTGGATGGGAAGTGGTGGTGGTTCCCTGCCAGGTTCCTTCTCCCCAGATGTTGGCATGTAATAGCACCTTCCATCATTTCCCAAGCCCAGCTGGACCCTCAAGCTCTTTCCTGTCCCTGTTCACTCGCCCTTCCTTAGTTTCTGCCCCCAGAGAAGATTCCCAGCATACACAGCTCCACCACTGGCCAGTGTCCTCCTGCCTCACCTCAGACAGAGCACACAGCCCAGTGCAGCGGGAGGCAGAGATGCTCAAGGAGCACGCAGGTGGGATGTACCTTTGGTCCTTCCTGTGCTAGGACCAGTGTGGGGACAGAGTGAATATCAGAGCAGCTGATATTCATCCCAATCCCATGGGATGCACAGGCTGGTAGGGGCATCACCACCCAGAACAGCTCAGTGGGGCCGACAAAATCATGCAAAGGATGGCTCCTATTTCTCAAATCATCCTAGGGTCTAGATTCTGCTCCAAAAAAGAAGGATCCAGTCCCTGTCTAAGTACAGGATGGGCTGTGGGTCAGACCTCACTGACACCCCACACCAAGCCCCACTAATGGCTCGCACTCTCTCCAGGCCAGCCCGTCCGCTGCTCAGATCTCACACCCCTGCTACCCCAGGGGGTACCAGGAGAACATCACCACGGCAGAGCTCTACGACAGCCCCTGTGTGCGTGCCCCGAGCAGCCCCAGCGCCGCGCAGCTCCTCAGGGTGATGGGGACAGGGGAGCCAGCAGCGTGCAGCGCCGCCGTGCAGCAGCTCTTCAACCTCAGCTGTGGGGCCAACAGCACGTGTGGGTTCAACGGGGTCTATCAGCCACCGGTGCGGGGACAGTTCTTCGTAAGGAGCCTCCGTCCCTGGGGCTGTGGTCGGGGAATAGGGCTGGGTGGGATTCTCCTCTGCCACTGGCTGTGGGGAGAGAGGCAACTCCAGGGCTGATCCCATCTGCAACCTCTTCTGTGCTGGGAGGTGGCTTCTGCTTTGTGTGATGCCCCAGCCCCCCCAAAGGGAAAATCCTGTCCCAGGGAGTGAATCTGAGCTGGCTCAGAGTGCGAGCAGCAGCACCAGGGCTTGTCAACCCGCTCCAAGGTTTCTGGTAGAATCAAGGGGGTGCTGGATGCAGAATCCTCAGAATTATGTGGGACTCTGTCCCCAAGCAAGAGGGGACCCTGGGTCTTTTTTGGGGGTGAGGAAGGAGGTGTAGTTCTTACCACCTCCCTGTATCCCCCAGGCCTTTGCTGGATTCTACTACACCTTCCACTTCCTGAACCTGACCAGCCAGCAGTCTCTAAGGGATGTCAACTCCACAGTCCAGGCCTTCTGCAAGAAAGACTGGGCAGAGGTGAGAGCCCTGAGGGGCAGAAAGGAGCCCTGTGCTTGTCATGTCCCAACTCTCAGCCCAAGAAGGCAATGTCCTCCTGTCCCGTGGGCTCCCGAGCATCTCATTCCCTGTTGCACTGTGTCCTCTGATGGCCCCACAGCTGGTGGAGACCTTCCCGCAGCAGAAGGGGTATCTACACAAGTACTGCTCCACGGCCATTTACATCTTGACACTGCTGCTTGATGGCTACAAGTTCAGTGAGCACACGTGGAGCAGCATCCACTTCAGGCAGCAGGTAAGGACCCTGTGGGCTCTGCATCCTTGCCCTGGCCCCAGTACATGTCCAGGAGCAGCATCCCTGGAGTCCCCTGCACCAGAAATGTTTCCCCTTTGCATCCTGCTGCCCAGTGACCCCAGCCCAGCTTCACTCTTCCTTCCCTGTCCCAAACCTCTGACACCAGCTTGTTCTCTCTCACTCTGGTGTGAACATAACAAGCTGATTTTAAGTGCGTTGGAGAAGTGCACAGGAGGATCTGGCTACATTGGTGTCTGATGCGAAGCAGGATTGACTTGAGCATCAGAGAGCTGATGGGGGCCCCAGGACCCATTTGAACCAGAACAGGACCAAATTTGAAGGATCATGGGGGAGGAGGAAAGCTCAGATCCAAAATCATGGTCACAGAGGCAGATCTGGACCAGAGCAGCCATTATCAGAATCCCAGACTAGTTTGGGTTGGAAGGGATCTTTAAGCTCATCCAGTTCCAACCCCTGCCACGGGCAGGGACACCTTCCACTAGAGCAGCTTGCTCCAAGCCCCTGTGTCCAACCTGGCCTTGTTCATCCACATTCATCTGCCCTTCAGCCTTTGGGAAAGGGGGAAAGGAAAGCTCTCTGTGTATTTGGGGCTGCTAAGATCAGGTTCACCACAGCCAGGTCCCTGTGTGAAATCACAGCTGGGGCAGCTCATGGGAGAGCCCCCTGGACCAAAGCTGGGAGAGGTGGTGGCTGGGAGAGGCACTTTTGAATGACCTCTGCTCCCTCACCTCAGGCAGCAAACACGGACATCGGGTGGACGCTGGGCTTCATGCTGAACCTCACCAACATGATCCCCACGGAGGCTCTGGGACACGTCAAGGGCCAGCAGCCCAGTCTGTGGGCAGGTGCTGTCTCCTGCATCGTGCTGGCCATCGTGGCAGGCCTGGTGGCCGGGTTCCTCCAGTGTTTCTGCAAAAGCAAGTAGCTCCCAGCCTCCTGACCAGAGACATCCTGCCTACCAACCTGGGAGGGATGTGCTGCAAAAGAAGGTGGGAGAAGAATGAGGGCATTAGACCCATCTCCATTGCTCAGGAGGTCTAATTGGGCCATCTCTATGAAGATGCTGGAGATGACAAAGGTGTCTTGAGCTCTCTGAGTACCTCCAAGAGGAAGACCAATCTGGCTGATAAAAGCTGACAGACTTGGCAGCTGGATGAAGCCAGATCAACCCAAACTAGAAATAAAACCCATTTTATTTTTCACATAGGAAAAGTCCCCGACCAGCCTCGCACGGCTTCCTGCTGGGCTGCAATCCCAACAGCCACAGGAGGCAACTGGTGATGGAGAGCAGTGGTGGCCACCTAAGCTCTGAGGAGAGGAGAGACCTTACCTGTATCTTGCCCTGTGAAAGACTGCTGTAGTATGTGACAGTATCTACCCAAAGACACTGTCAGGTGTCTTTAAAACTATTTACTGCCATAGCAGCAGAAAAATGCAAGTGGAGGTTGACTGAAGAGCTGCCAACTGTGGCTCAGGGTTTATTGGATATTCCAGTTACACAGCTCAGCTCTGTCAGACACCAAATCCCTAACGGGTTCCAGCTCCAGGCGATTCAGTGGTTCATCCAGCTCAGAAGAGCCCAGCACAGCTCGGGGCAGGAATCGGATGGTCACGTCATTCCTCCCAGCTCCAGCTCAGCAGCCCCCTGCCCAGCCCCTCCAAAGGGCTGCTCTGAGCAGGGGTACTCCCCAGCCACCTCTCCTCTGCACTGCAAGATCTCTTCTGCCCATGCAGCATGAAGGAGCATCCAGGCAGGATGTAAGGGCTGGAGGAAAGTATCAAAAGCATCTGGACTGAGGAATGGTCAGAGCCCTTTGGCTCTGGCAGATCTGCAGGGTATTTGCTGTGGAAGATGATACATGGTGGTCCTAACCCAAGCTGTTATCCCATTCACCCCACTGGAAACAGGTTAGAAAAGCCATTTGAAAGAGCAGCATTTCTGTGTGGTGGAGATAAGGACATGTGAGCCAAGGGCCTGGGGACCAGGGCTCTGCCTCCTGCTCACAGTCTTTGGCTTCACTAGGGTGAGGCTCAGCCCTCCAGCCTGAACTTGAGCAACATGGAGAGGGGGTAAAGACCTCCATCCACAGGAACCTCTTCCCACCTGGAAGGTCTGAGCCAGCGGCACTTGGACATTTTCCATAACCAAACATCAGATCCCTCTCCCTTCTCTCTGCCCTGCACAGGCACATCTTTGGCAGTGTAAGCACAGAAGTAAAAATGCCAGGTCTGGGAACAGGCTGTAGAAGATGCTGTTGGACTGCTAGAGCTGACCTCATGGGATCTGTGAGTGAGGGACATCTCCTGTCCAGGTTCAGCAGAGCTCCTGGCTGTGGCTGAATAAACTGGGACTGGGGCCTCCCACCCCTGGGAGACAGTGCAGTCGGGCAGTAAAAGGCTCCTGTTTGCTATAGGAAGGCAGCACCACAACTGGTCTGGGTTGCAAAGCATTTGGGGAAGATGCCAGTCTTGCCATTGCAGTGTCCTTCCAGCCAGTCCTCATTCACTGGGAAAACATAAAGGAGCAGCATAAGCCCTGAGGCAGCACTGGAGAGGCATCTACTCCCCAGGCACCTGCAGCAGACTCAAAGCCTGCTCCAGCACAAGCCTGCAGACAGGACTGCAGAGCTACCTTCAGAGAGAACATCCAGCACATCTCCCTTGCTGAAGTCCAGGTCCCCTGGTCCCTGTGCAGGGTAGGAGTGCTGAGCCAGCATCCGGTAGAGGATGGGTCTGCCCGAGTGGGACTCTGAGTCCTACAGGAGAGTCAGCATGAAGGTTGCAAGGCAAAGCAGAGATGTGAGCCCAGCACAGCAGAGGAGGTGGTCACAGCCCACGTACCTGGCAACACAGCACCAGCCTGCCATCCGTCAGCTGCTGCCACATCCTCCCTAGATCCTCCTCTCCCGAAACTGCTCCCAGTTCCTTGCCATCCGAATTCTTGTAGCTGCAAGAGTTCATTAACATGGCTCAAATCTCACTTAAAGCCTAGCTCTGAGGCCAGCCTAGTCCTCTACCATCTTTAGCCTTTGAAGTCCCCCTTGTAAGCCAGCTTTAACCTTTGCACATGGATGTGGGGCCTACCTACATGTTCAGTGGGCAGAAAGGGAGACACCCTCAGCTCCTCACACATTTACTTGAGGGGAAGATCCTAAACTCTCCTGACTACACTGTGTGTCCCCAGGGGTATCACATCAGGGAACTGTCACCTCAGGACCAATGCACACTTACACCTGACTCCCAAATTGCTCTGCATTGATCCTAGTGTATCTCAAAGGCTGAGCTGAGCAATGGAGAAAATCCAATGTACAGCACCTGCATCTGCACAGAGTTCATGTTTCCCTGTTTCCTGACCATGGCAGTGCCCTCGGAAAGATCCTTCAGGCTTCCAAATCCCATGAGCATATGATTTTCTCCTAACCACAAGCCACGGTAAGGTTGGCCCTGAAAGGAAGGCTGTGTGCTCAGCCTTCGCTGAATCTCTGCTGGTGTTTTGATCACAACACCCCAATTAAATGTTCCCAGGAGACTAGACAGAGTTGAATGCCTGTGTCTTAGAGTTACAGAATGGTTTGGGTTGGAAGGGACCTTAAAACTCATCCAGTTCCAACCCCTGCCATGGGCAGGGACACCTTCTACTAGAGCAGCTTGCTCCAAGCCCCTGTGTCCAACCTGCCCTTGAGCACTGCCAGGGATGGGGCAGCCACAGCTTCTCTGGGAACCCTGTGCCAGCGCCTCAGCACCCTCACAGGGAAGAACTTCTGCCTTATACTCAACCTAAATCTCCCACTTCAGTTTAAACCCATTCCCCTTGGTCTGTCCCTACAGGCCCTTGTCCAAAGTCCCTCTCCAGCATCCCTGTAGCCCCCTCTGAGACACTGGAAGCTGCTCTGAGGTCTCCACAGTTTCCCTTCTCCAGGGTGAACAGCCCCAGTGTTCTCAGCCTATCTTCATACGGCCCTTATACCCTTAGGGGGGTGGCTGCTGCACCCTGTCACCCACCTGAGCCTCCCTCGCTGCGCCTGCTGCCCCAGGCACTCCCGCAGCAGTGCCCGCAGGTCCTGCAGCGCCGGAGCTGTGCCTGCCCTCAGCATCATTGTGCACTCGCAGCACACCCGCAGCACCATGGGCCTGGCATTGCTGGGGGAAGCGTCCCCACAGGTCACTGGGATCTGCTGAGAGAGGTGGCATCGTGCACAGGGGGGTTATTCAGACTATGTCACCTCTCCTATCAACAGAGACGACATCGACACAACCCCTCATCTCAGTGCTACCATGTAATGGTAGTGTAGCATCAGAGGGGCAGCTATGGATCCAAAGCTTGGGATCAACTGTTCCTCCCATGACCCAGGAAGCCTGTTTCTGGGTCTGATCACACAGGTACCTCCCAACCTCAAGTCCAGCTGAGCAGGGCTCCAATTCCTCTAGCCAGCTGGAGAGGTGCAGCCAGTTCCCATGTTGTGCTGCCTCCTGTCTGAAGCTGAACAAAAAACTGCTCCAAAAGCCCTGCAAAGAGGGTGGCAGAGACAAAGCCAGCAGAACTCATCTGCAGCTGGCACTGCCAGAGGTGCTGTCCCCAAGTGGATACAGGAGCAATTCCAGCACCATCATACACTGTGGTTGGTAATGACATGGAAGTGCATTAGAGAACAACATCCCAGAACACAAATAAATGAATTGTGGTACCCAGACTGTCAGGAGCAGAAAATTCTGCACAGGAGAAGGGAGGGAGGGCCAGCAGGTAGTTCAAAGACAACTCTCTTCCAAAATAGGCTGTGAAGTGTGTGCCTGAGGATGTTGCTGTGTCTGGGGCTCTTGGCTCCTTGGGGAGTGCCACAATGGCACTGCCCTGCTAAGCCTCAACCTTGGGCAGTCTGACAAAGTTGTATGGTCACAAACTTGGAAGTGGTGGAGGAATGAACCCATGGGAGCCTCTCTTTGGAACGGGAAAATGGACAGAGGAAGAGGGGGTTTTTCAGGTGATTTTGGGCCAGCTCAGGAATTTTGGAGGATTTGGTCAGGAATCTGGCATTTTTCACAGCCTTGACCTCTTGAGGCTGTGCCAGCTTGTGGAACACCTTACCTTGTAGTCCATTTGAGCACCAGCACCATTTACAGGGGCATTTTCTACCCCAGCCGATTCTGAAGAACAAAACAAGAGCAGAGGAACAGCACCCACAGTCAGCAGACTCCGCACCTCTTCTGCAACCCCCAGCACACAGGCAGACAGGGCTGCAGTGGGCAACCAGCCTCTCCATGCCCCCCAAAGAAGGGGTGGGCACAGCTCCAAGTCACACCCACTGAGGTCCCTGGCCTGGGGACTACCTGGCTTCTGCTTCATGTGGAGTCGGCTGGGAGGCACCTGGGCAGGAGGGAGAGGAATCCCATCGTTGATCTTCTGCAACAGAAAATCAGAAGAGTGAGCAGAAGGCACTGGAGACTGGACGAGGCTGTTGCCCATGACAGAGGCTGCAGCCAGTTATAAATGTATGGGTGTAATCCCAGAGAGAGCTCCAGGGAGACCAGTTTATTAACTGGCTGGATGAGGTGGAGCACTCAGAATGGTCTCTGCAGCTCCTGTGGGTAGCAGGGGTGATGAGAGGCTTGGTGGGGCACTTCCTTGGCCTCTTGCTCCTTGCTGGGTTGGTGCTGGAGCAGAGGGAGGCTGCTCACACTGTGCTGAGGGTTCTCCTCACCATCTGCCAGCTCACCTGGGAACTTGGGCTGGTTCACAGTGAGACAGCCATGGAGCAAATGCCCAAGCAAGGGCTATGACCAAAGATTCATCTGGGAGTGAAACTGTGAATCACAGCAACATCACAACAACTGTGAGCTTCCAAAAATCCCTAACAGGTCTGAGTTGCACCTTTCTGCACTGGTTTCAGATGGAAAATTATTTGGATCATGTGTGGACATGTCTGTGGTGGAGATGAGATGAAAACTTTCCTAAGTCAAAGGTGAAGGTTAGGGCTTAGTGCATGGCCCTAAGGCAAAAAGCAGTATCTCTAAGATGTTACTGCTCCACTGAAAGAGATTAACCTGCTCTCTGCTGCTGAACCAGAATATGTGAGCCCTCCTCACCTGCTTCTGTGCTACACTGACTGGCTGCACAGACCATGGGAGCAGGCTGGATAAACAGAAGCCTTAAGCCCTCAAACTCAGCCAGTGGCACAAGAAGTTACAGTGGTCAGGAGAGCCATGGCAGCTGCTCATCTTTGTGTGCCCCATCAGCCCATGGTGGATAAGAGCTAACGACACCTAGATCAGCTGGTGGTACAAGCCACTGTGGCTTTTAACTCTTCTGTTGTTCCTGTTCAAGAGCACTTGGTCTTCAGTCAAGGTGTCTCAGTACTTCATACTCTGTGTCTCTTACACAGTTGTCCTGTCCTGTGATAATCTTACACAGAAGTGTCCCAGATGTACCTCTTGGTCCCTCCCTCGCCCCTGCTTGCAAGGCTGTCAGCTCACCCATTTATCCATCTTTGAGGCAGGCTCCAGGAGCGAGCTGGGAATGCGCAGCTTCTGCAGGACACAAAGCAGAGCAGGGTGAGACAGGAGCTGCTGCTGTGGCAGGCTCAGCCCCAGCCCACCCAGCCCCACTTTCTGTAAGTCCCACTCTGCACTGCTTCTGCCCTTGCAAACCACCCCTGCCTGCAGCAACTCAAATGCGCCCACGGGGGGGCAGGGTCTCATACAGTAATCCATAGGGTTCGTGCTCTGATATTGCTGACAAAATCCCATGGTTCTTTTGCATGTTTTTCTGCTGAAAGCAGTGCTGCTGCTGGAGTGGCTGGGATGTAACAGCCCAAACACCCTGCCTCTGAAATGGATGCTTGGGCAGAGAGTAGCAAGGATACTGAGGGATACCAGTGCAGCAGCATCTCTGTGTCTTCTGCCACTCACTGCTCCAGAGCTCCCAATTTCAACTGATCATTGTAATTATGCTTTTTGTTTCCCCAGTGTCTATTATTTTACTTTTTTTTTACTTTGAATTTCACTTGACACTTCACTGAGCTTCAACCAGCACATTCAAACAGGTCTGTAACTGTTCACTGTCAGCTCCAGCTGCTTTAGGCTATGCCAGTCATTTGACTGTAGTGGAACATGGTCACCTTAAGGAGCACTACATCCCCATCTCTATTACTACATCCCTTAGGGATATGCTAAATGCTTAGGTCACAGGAGATTCTCTGGGGGGACGTCCTTTCTCTAAAAAGAAAGAAATAAAATCCTGTTCATTTATGCCTATTCTTTACTTTCATATTTTAACCTGTCATCAGCCCTCAGGCACTGCCTCTTGCCCAAGCAGCTCCCTGGGGTTTTAGTGAAGAGTCTTGTGAAGAATTTTCTGACTTCTTTTGCAAATATAGGCAGATAATACTGGCTCAAGCTAATCCACTGGTTCTTCCGAAGCATTTCAGTAGACATGTGAGAAATGGCTTCTGTCAGCAAAAGACTTTCTGTGATGTATTTGTCTGTTCCTGTTCAAGCTTTGCACTATCGTTCCCTGGTCTACAGAAAGATGTCAGGTTTGCTCAATTCCTTAGGTCTTCTCTAGAGCCCTTTATAAAACCTGTCTGCACAGCTGAAATCCTTCCAGAGCCTTCCCAAAGTTAATGTAACAGAGGCACTACACACCAGATAAGGACCAGCTGCTTTCCTCAGCCCTGGAAGAGCTCTCAGGTGACAAATACTGCTCTAAATGGTGGTCCCTGGTGAGGTCTGTTATCCTACAGAATCCCACAGTAGGATTTTGTATGGTGGAAAGCACAACTGCCCCCAGAAATGCCCATGTGGAGCTATAGAGGTGAATGGCAGAAGACAGTGGGAGCCCAGTGTCAGAGAAATCTACAGTTAGCAGCAGGTCTGTGGAAGTGAGCTCCTGAACTCATTCTCTGCAGAGCTACAGGGTGTCCTTGGAATGTGCTCAGAGGGTTGCAGCAAGCTCCTGTCCAGCCCTCTGTGGTCTCTGCTGGTGGGGATGTGCTGGAAAGCCCACCCACTGTCCTTACCTGTCCATCATGTATGGCTGTAGCCCAGCCATCCCCTCCTCTTGTCAGCACAAAGACCAAGCTGCTGGCTCTCACTGCCAGCTTCTCTGAGTCCTTGGGGTAGTAATGGGACAACACCCGGTAGTAGCCTGACTCACTTTCTCTGGAAAGAGAGAATGAGAGCACCTTTACTAACCCTGGAGGCCTGGTGCTGGATGCTTTGGTCCAGAACACTGCACTGATCCAAACTGTCCCATGCCAAATGTTTCACTTGTTGGAAAATGATGATTTCCATTGCTACTCTTTGTTCCAACTGGGAACAAAAGCAGCCTGGAAAACACTGATTTCCCAAATGCAGCTGCTCCATTTTCATTGCACTGATAAATGTTCTCCAGATCAAAGCAATTATTAAACTCAGAATGAAGTGCTGCTGGTACAACATCACCACGACAAATGGTTTCATGCTTTTGCAACCAAGGCTGACTTTGGCTCAGCAGGGCTGGGAGGGAATATCTGGAAGCCTTGTTCTGGGCACTAGGATGTGGCAGCTGAGCATCCTCCACCACAGACCTGGGCAGGTCCTACAATCTCTCTCTGCTTCCATTCCCTGGCCATGGCATGATCCAGGCCTGTCTCACAAGACTATTGAGTCAACTCCTGCAAACTACCCTGAGATTCCTGCATGAGGGATGCCAACTGCACTGCAGTGTCTTTGGCAGCCACAAAAGCCTTTGCATGTTTGTCATTCTCTACACCCTCAATGAGAAGTGGGTGGAGATCCCACAGGCTCTTCAAAGATATCAGAGAACAAAATGTGACCTTCTGAACAGAAATAGTGAGAGAAGAGTTAGACCAAGATGGAACCAAACACTTACAGCAAAGCATCAGCACCAGGTTCATAAAAGCCCTGTTTCTGTGGGAGAAACAACAGCATATATTTATAACAATACCTTACACAGGAACAGTACCACCTTCTTTTCTGTCCCTCTGAATACCACACTGAGGTGTTTTGATTTTAACCACGTTTGTCACACCACAGCACTCAGACAGAAGTCTGCTGCTCTACACCTTGCCAGCATATTCCTTTTATTTCTCCCCCTTCCTCTTTATCCCATAAGGAGATGAATAACAAAATATCTTTCCTTCCCTTGGTTCTAAGGAGCTCGTATTACACTGCAAGGCAGCCATGCTTATGCTGACAAATCCAGTGATGTGCTGGGCAAGCACGGGTTGAGCACAGCAGTCTCCACTGCTGTTTTGACATGGCAAAGAGGCAAAAATGCATCTTCAAAGGGTTGGAGACTCACATCACTGAGTCCCTTCCAGCCAATGCTGAAGCCCACCTGGCTTTGAATGGCTCCATGGAGCCAGTCTGATACTGCACTGTTTCTTTCCTTCACCAGCATGTTCTTACCCTGATGGTGTTAGGATCTGAGGCCCTACCTGGAGCTCCATGCCTCCTTTCACAGCTTTGTCCTGCTCACCTGAGGCCTGAGAGGCTCGAAGCCAATGTACTCATCATTGGGAATGATGGATGAGATCACCTGTTGGAGGACAAAGCAATGACTGAATCCAGGTTGGATGACTCAAACTTCGTGCCAGGTTATCTACTCGGACTGATTTCCTTCTATCCTATGGTCAGGCATAAAGTAGAGCCATGCACATAGTGGAAAAAGCAGACCTGGATTCCCAGAACAGCTTTAACCATTCTTGTCCCTGGTTTTTCAGCCTTTCCAAAGCTTCTTTAAAAGTATGTGAGTGAATTACTTTCCCTTCCCTTTATTCCCATTGGAGCTCTCTGGCCTGTGGCACTTCTGCTGCCTGCACTGGTCCAGAAGGGATCAGAGAAATTCTTTGCTGACTTGCATTAAGGGATGTGACAAAGCATTCGTCTCCCAGGTGCCTGCCTGTCCCACTGGCAATGCAGCAGTGCATAGGAGCATGCTGGAAGAACATGTTCCTCTTGAAAATCTTGTCAGCACAAAGATGGTCACAGGGCTCCCTAAGGACCTGCTCAGCTTTTTCAGTTTCAGGTGACCAAGACTGGGAAGGGGTTTTAGCACAAAGGGCAGTTTTGACAGAAGAGGTGGCAATTTAACAGATTCCAGCTTCTGTGTCCCAGATGCCTTGACCCTGACAGTCCTGCTCTGGGGTCTCCATCAGCACAGTGAGCAGTGGAGCAATCAACAGTAATGCTCTCTGGAGAGGTCAGAAGGTGAGATCTTAAGCTGCTTGTTAATCTTAGTGATCACATGCCTGTTACCTTGGGTTTACCCAGGAAGTCTTTTGAATCCAGCTGTTCAACTTCCTTCTTTCGTGGTCTGAAAAATTCCCCCAGAGGAACCTGCATGGGCTCTAAAAATAGCCGGTTCTAGGGCAGGGAAAGCAGAGAATGGAAAAGCCACCAGTGAATGTTAAATGAAACATAACAGCAGTGAAAAGCAAGTAGAGCTTCCTTATGTGGGTAAGATCAGCTCCAGGAAGACATTGGGGCAAAAATTACATCTGTGAACTTGAGAAAGGTCACTCAGGTTTAATGAGCATGTGTAAACTCAGCATTACCCAGTGGTGAGTCAAAGATGGACTCTGTTGGCATGGGACAGGTGGGAAGGGAGTGCAGTGGAGTCAGGTTTCTTAAAGAAATCTTCTAAGAAGTTTTTCTATTTGATTTCAGATGTTGTTATCTTCTCCCCTGTTCAAAGACTGAGTAGCAAGCTAACAGCAAATATAAATGATATACTAATGTAAAGCACAAACATGATGCTAGAAGACATGATCAGATCTTAGAAAGGATACAAGTAACATAAGGAAGTATGGAGAAAGTAAAATAATGAACTCTTCAGGAAGTGTGTATCAGACACCTGCAAGTTGCTCCTGGTCACCTAAGAGCTGACTAGGGACTAGAAAGCAAAACCCCCAACCTGAGAGGCTATACCATAATTCTTCACTATGGTGTTGCTGTGCTATGAAGCACCTGGGGCTGATAGAGTACTTGATTAGCTGAAGCACTAGTTTGGTTGAGCATCACAACCAAATTTTGACTATATTACCAGGTGACCAAGCAGACAAGAAAACCCAAACATACAATTAGCATATTCTTACCTCCTGTGTCTTAACTTCAACCCAATGCACATACCCAGGAGCTCACAGAGGGGCTCTTACCTGCACCTGCTGAAAGGCCAGGTCCAGGATTGCTGTTCTTCCTTCAGGTCTCCACACAACAGCCTTGTCCAGGGTGACTCTGGCCTCCTGCCACCGCTGCAGCTGGCACTGGGCTGCTGCAGTGCTGTACAGGACCTGGAAAGGGCAAGGAGAGAACAGAACTGAGGGCTGAGATCCAGCAGCACCCATTACAACCAGCACAACTCAGCCAAGCAAGAGGGTCCAGGCACTGGAACATCACAGGTACAGCAGCAGCCATCTACTGCCTACTGGTTGCACAGCTGAACAAAACCTCCATATTTAGAGTGGAAAGACAGAAAAGCTGTACCTCTGCACCTCCAGGCTACCTGCTGGAGCTGCCAGCTCCGTTCAAGCCAAGGAGAAGCATGGGGAACACCAGATGAAGACTCTGGTACCACAAAAGCTTTAATCTTCGTGCAGCTGAAAGGCCAGGAAGAGTCTTGTGTTTCTTCCCACATGCAACTAGGTAATACTTTACTGTGCAGAGTAATTCTGACTCCCTTTCACTGCAAAATAACTTGACTGAAACTATTTCACATTGTGGTGGGCTGTGAATGTGCAGATTGTCAGCTGTAGCTTGTTACCCTTTAGCAGCATGTAAGTATGTTGAGTGGTGAAGTGGCAAAGTGTGGGAGTAGCACAGACTGGGTGTTGGGAAGCCTTGATCCATATGCTAATTAAGAGTGGGAGATCTCTTCTTGTCACTGCCCAACAGTCAGTGTATGGAAAAGCTGCTGGCCCACAAGGCAGAAGTGTGGCCTTGCTGATCTGCTGTCAGATAGCTTGTTATATTACAAGACAGGATTATCAGCCTGTCAATTGCTGTGTGGTTCCTGGGTGCAAGCAGTGCTTGGGACAGAGATGCAACTAATAGGATGCTTTACCATTGCTCCTTTATTATGACAGTAGCAAATGGCAGTTTGGGGGTGGTGGGGAAAGGTAATTCTGAACACCTACAGAACTGCAGGGATGCTGCCTCTTGGAGAGGCAAGGCAGCAGCTCTCAGCTCAGAAGTGGTACAGCCTTGCAAGAGGCAAATAGTTTAGGATTTTCCAACCACACAGCACATTTCCCTATGAGGATCAGCTGCAGCACCTGAGAGGCCACACATGGGGAAAGCTGATGGTGCAGTTCTGCAGGAGGATTGGCTGTGTGCTTTGGAAATGAGCTGCAGGTAGATGTAAGAGTGAGATTCAGTTGACTCAGAATGCAGATCCCAGGTCTGGAGTGTCAGCCCAGTGAGAACACATACACTGGCAATGCCCACTGCATGTGGAGTGAGGGACTGCATGCTGCTGGATCTTCCTGCATGCTCATAGCAGGAAAGGCACCAGCCTCCTCGGGATGGCCTGGGGCACTCCTGCAGCCGTGAACCTTCCAAAGGGACTAAGTTTCTAAGTGTGTGTGAGCTCAGAGGAGGCAGTGCTGTGGTGCTGAAACTGTTAAAGCTGGTGAGGTTTGTGTAATAGCACAGATGCCAAGGATGGCTTCTTCGTGCCAGGTGTAAGGTGCGCAAAAGTTGACTTGACTGGAGGGGTTTCTGGGCATGCTTGACTTGAGTTATGCAATAACTCCTCAACCCTGCGGAAGTAAAGACTTAAATACTTTCCTGCATCTGCCTTTCGGTCTCTGTGTGCAGACTGAGGGGAGAAAACAAAGTGAACCCTCAGAGTACAGTTTCTAGAAGTCTTTTACACTTTAAATATTACAAATATCCACAGTCAATTCAGACTTACATGGGTTCTAAACAAGCAGGTTGACTCCATGTCACAGTGTAAGAGCTGCAGAACGAAGTTACAGAAGCAAAACCCAGCGTACAGCCCAGTTTGTGAGTTTAGACACAGAGGAAAAGTGAAGACCAGTTGCTACAGCTGGAAAAACAGGCTTTCATGCACAAGTTTCTTACAGTACTCCTTATGGACCAATTCGGTTCCCATCTGTCTACACTTCAACCTATTTCAGCTTTCAGAGCTGAGGAGTTCACAAAACTTACGTAGATATTTACATGCATGTAAGTCTAAATATTATATGCATACATAGATAAGCCAAAAAACCCAACCCAATATACAAACTTCTATGCATCTGCTCTGAAGAGCTTTACTTTTCAATTGTACAATTTGCTGAACTCTTCAGAGGTGAGATTGTTTTATGAGTTTTATGATTAAGTTCTGTTTTTACTGTTCTAATGCACTGTCCTGAAAAGCTCCTGGGTTACTAATGCCTACTAATCCCCACCAGCGCAGCAGAAGGGCTGCTCTGACAGGCTGACTCTTACCTCCCATGCATAGAGGATGTGCCTCAGCCCCAGCTGCTTGTAATCAATGAAAGGATTTTTTCTTAGGTGGCTGAAAGCCATATGATAATCACAGAGAGCTTCTTCATACCTGCAGTGTGGAGATGACAGAAGAACATGAGACTAGAAAAACTAAATACTTTTTAAGAAGTTTGCCTGTGCAATCCTCATGAGGTTCAAGAAGACCAAGTACCAGGTCCTGTCTCTGGGTTGAGGCAATCTCAAGCACAAATACAGGCTGGGGAGAAAGGGGATGGAGCAGCCTGAGGGGAAGGACTTGGGGGTGTTGGGTGAGGAGAAGCTCCCCATGACCTGGCTTCAGTGTGTGCTTGATCCCAAAACCTCCCTGTGTTGGGCTGCACGCACAGACCGTGAGCAGCAGCTCAGGGAGCGGATCCTGCCCCTCTGCTGTGCTCTGGGGAGACCCCCCTGCAGTCCTGATCCAGCTCTGGGGCAGCAGCACAAGAGGGATGTGGAGTTGTTGGAGTGAGTGCAGAGGAGGCCACGGAGATGCTGCGAGGGCTGGAGCAGCTCTGCTCTGGAGCCAGGCTGAGAGAGCTGGGCTGGGTCAGCCTGGAGAAGAGAAGGCTCCTGAAGGGGAGACCTTAGAGCAGCTCCAGTCCTAAAGGGGCTGCAGGAAAGCTGGAGAGGGGCTTGGGACAAGGGCCTGTAGGGAGAGGCCAAGGGGAATGGCTTTAACCTGCCAGAGGGGAGACTGAGATGAGCTCTTAGGCAAAAGCTCTTCCCTGTGAGGGTGCTGAGGTACTAGCACAGGGTGCCCGGAGGAGCAGAGTGGAGCAGCTTGGACCACCCCTGACCGCAGCTCTGTTGCAGAGGTACAGAGCTTGTAGCTGCTTGAGAGGCAGCTGTGGGTGCAGAACTGCTCAGTTTAACTCCCTCCCAGAAATAAAGGTAGTCATTTTGTTGAAATTAAGGTCTGGAAAATATGGGGAAAATAACAGGAAAGAGAATAACTGAACATGAAGGTAAGAGGGATCTGCAAAATCCTCCACCCACCTGTCTGAGCAGGATGTCACTGTGATTTAACTGTGCAAACAATGAGTAATCAATCCCATGACATTAGTGGAGCAATCCCAACATTAAACCAAGGAGCCTGAGATTTGGCCCACAAAATCTACTCTTAGCAGAGTGTGGGAGTCGGGCACTTTGGTGCAACTAGGTGTGTAGGGAAGCCAGACTCAGGGGTCCCATGTGGACATACACCAAGCAGCATAATTACGTATTTTCATTCCCAAAGAAATCTGAAGGACAATGTGAATCCTGGCAGGCCCCCCGCAGCTCCCCCAATCCTCCCCCAGGAGCAGCTTCTTTCTGTATGTGTATGGAACAGTAATGTCATGTATTAGCCACCCTTGGGGATGGGAGTTGTGCAGCTCCTGTCTTCTCAGCTTTATCAGGGACAAGACTTGCTGACTTCTGACACGGTTTACAAGGTCAAACTGGACCTTAAGACCTCTTTAAGATTGCTGGAAGAAGTGAATTTTAGAATCACAGAATAAAGTCTGACTAAAAGGAGAAAACTGAAGACTGAAGCAGACACGGGCCTCACCTTCCCAGCTGCAGATGGACAAACCCTCTCTGAAAAAAGCCAACAGCTAGAGAGCTGTCCTTGGCAATGGTGTCATTGAACGCCTAAGGAGAAAAACAGACACATCATAGAATCACAGACTGGTTTGGGTGGGAAGGGACCTTAAAACTCATCCAGTTCCAACCCCCTGCCACAGGCAGGGACACCTTCCACTTGTCCTTGTCCAAAGCCCCTCTCCAGCTTTCCTGCAGCCCCTTTAGGCACTGGAGCTGCTCCAGGGTCTCCCCTTCAGGAGCCTTCTCTTCTCCAGGCTGACCCAGCCCAGCTCTCTCAGCCTGGCTCCAGAGCAGAGCTGCTCCAGCCCTCGAAGCATCTCCGTGGCCTCCTCTGTAGTCACTCCAACAGCTCCACGTCCCTCTTCTGTTGTTGCCCCAGAGGATCACAAGGATCGGTTTGGCTCTCTCCTGCTGATGTCTGGGTATGTGCATCCAGGTAGCCACATCCAAGCTGTTCTTGTTCTGGGTGCAGCAGCCATCCCTGTGCTTGCGACCAACTCCCCAGGACTGACAAGCTCAGGGCTGTGATCTGGACAGGAGGCAGCTCCAAGTTCAGGTCTTGGCTCTGTATGAGCTGAGCTTCAGGTTTTTATCCTTCCTTGGTAAAATGGACAGGACTGAAATGAGCTACGCTTGCAATCCAGCATCTTTAATGGGAAAACTGTGTTGTGGGGAGCAGACTTTGCCCTGACAGTGGGAGCAGCAGGACTAGCCAGGCTTTGGAAAGCTGTTTCAAGCAGGCTACGGTGATGAGTATGTGAAAAGACGCAAAGGAGAAAACTGAAGGGCTTCACACAATGCACCTCTAAGTCCATATTTCTGGTCCAGTTTCACAGCTAAGTACAGGCAAGTATTAGCAAAGTTGGCAGCAGCTCATGGCTGATGGTTCTAAGTAACACTGCACTGGGAAAACAGTCTTAATGCCTTTGAGAGAGCTAGGAGGTGTGCTCCTTCACTTACCATTTCAAGGAGATGGTGTGGAGGAAATAAATCAAGCCTGAAACTCCAGACTTTCCTGAAACTGCCTAGAAAGGGATAGCATTGCAGGGTTGAAAATACATTGCAGGAGGTCAGGGAGGGACTGCACATTATGGTGCTGGCTTCTCCTGTAACTCAAAACACATTTAACAGTCTGCTTTACTGTGTTATAAAAGACCTTGTCCTGCCCATGGCAGGGGGATTAGAACTTGATGACCTTTAGGTCCTTTCCAACCCTAACTATTCTATGATTCTAAAACAACAATCAACCGTTGTCCTACATGTAAGTACAGCTTAGATTCTTCCCAGTCAGTGCCCATTCATCGCTAAAGAGTCTCTCTGAGCACCACTGTGCTGCACTTGCTGCTGTCCCTTGCAGCTGGAACCCTGCCCAGGCCCTATGGCTCTGCCCCAGGACTTCCAGCACAGCCTGAGCTCTTCTATATGCATTAAGAAATGGCTTACGTGCCTCCCTTCATCAGGCAGCTGAGACACAGACAGATGTGCAAACGTGCCAGGTGCTGTAAGAAAAAGGCTTCTCCTCAGGGCCCTTGCCCGCCCCAGCACAGGCTCCTGCTCTCCCTTGCCGAGGGCAGCTCTTTTCCAGCAGAGTGGTTTCTTTTTGGCAGCCTCGACTGCTTGTGCAGGACTGTCTGAGGACACAGGTGGCTGCAGGGCCCTCACTCTTTGTCCATCACCTCCCACTTTCCTGCTATTAGTGGGATGTGCAGGTCACCAGCATCAGAAGGATGTGGAGCTTTTGGAGCAAGTGCAGAGGAGGCCATGGAGCTACTGCGAGGGCTGGAGCAGCTCCGCTCTGGACCCAGGCTGAGAGAGCTGGGCTGGGTCAGCCTGGAAAAGAGAAGGCTCCTGAAGGGGAGACCTTAGAGCAGCTCCAGTGCCTGAAGGGGCTGCAGGAAAGCTGGAGAGGGGCTTGGGACAAGGGCCTGTAGGGACAGGCCAAGGGGAATGGCTTTAACCTGCCAGAGGGGAGACTGAGATGAGCTCTTAGGCAGAAGCTCTTCCCTGTGAGGGTGCTGAGGCGCTGGCCCAGGGTGCCCAGAGAAGCTGTGGCTGCCCCATCCCTGGCAGTGTTCAAGGCCAGGTTGGACACAGGGGCTTGGAGCAAGCTGCTCTAGTAGAAGGGGTCCCTGGCCGTGGCAGGGGTTGGAGCTGGGTGAGCTTTGAGGTCCCTTCCAACCCAAAGCAGGCTGTGACGGGTTTTAGCTCCTGTCCCAGCAGCAGTCTCTCAGTGATGCACTCCGGCAGCCGCGCCCCCATCCCGGCCCCTCGGGCCCCCGCTCCCGCCGCTCACCCTGAGTGCCGCCTCGGGCCGCCCCGCCAGCAGGTGCACGCAGCCCATGTTGAAGCAGATCCTGGCCGGCGGTCCCGGGATACCGGCGAAGATGTCGAGGGCCGTGTCCCAGTCCCCGCCGTCGGCCGCCAGCACTCCCTGGTGCCAGCGCCTCACCAGCTCCCGGTAGGCCATGGTCGGCAGCAGCTCCCGCGTCCGTGGCTCGGCTTCACCTGAAGGGCGGGGAAGGGCGGGGCAGGAAGTTCTCCTGCCCCGGTCCGCCCTCCCCTTCCCCGTCCAGCCCCGCGGGGAGAACCAGGGCGCGGACCCCGAAGTGTCCGGGGTCAGAGGGGATGCCGGCGGCTACAGCTGGGGGGAAAACCGCGGGGGTTCTTGTCACGGCCCTATTAGCGTGCACGTTGTGCACAGTAATTACGACAGCGCGGCCGCTCTCGGGTATTTACGGTAATGCCGCCCGCCCGCCACGCTGCCACGGGCGACACCGCCCCCTGCCGGCGCGTCCACGAGTGCCCCCAGAAAAGAAGCCCGATGGGGGCGTGGGGCTACACATGAAAGGTTCCGTGGCTGGTTCCTTTTGCCGCACGCAGCGGAGAGGCGGGAGCGACAGGGAAGGTTCTGAGCGGCGCACTCGGGTGTTCTCCTCGCCGCTTCCGGGCCGGTGCCAGGTGAGTGGCAGGAGGCGGCGGCTGCGCGCGGCCGTTCCGCGGGTACGCGCCCCGCAGCCGGGACGGAGCCACGGAGCGGCTCGGGGGCTCCGCGCGGGGCGGGAGCGGGGCGGGAGTGGGGGCTCCGGGCGCCTCGGGGGGGGCGGTGGCGGTGGCGGCGGTGGTGGTGGCGGTGGGGCAGGGCTTGGGGGTCTGCGTGGGCCTCGGCCGGGGCTGCCTGAAGTAAAGCGCGGGCCGGGGACACCGGCTGCTCCCCCCCGTTCCGTGGCGGGCGGCTCCAGGCGGGGGCTGACAGGGGAGGCGCGGAGGGGAGCGTAGCCATAAACCCGTGTGAGGGGAGCTCCCAGTCAGGAGCCGCGGCAGCCTGGTAGCCCTGAAGAGCTACCGCGCTGACTACGGGGGTAATAGGAGCGAATAATTACAAGCTATCAACGGAAGCCAAAGGCATTTGTGGCGGTCGCCTTACTGGCAGCTCAGAAGTGTGATTTTAGATTCCCTTGTCCTAAACTGGTTTTGCTCTTGTCACCGACTTTAAATGTTTCGGAAGATGGGGGAGAAAGCCAGAGGGATTGGAAGTACCTCGAGCATTGTCCACACCTGTGGAAGGGTTAAAAGTGTTTTAAGAAAGTTTGTTATGTGATGTCAGTAGGCGGAACAAAAAAATAACGAGTAGGTAGAGCTTTGTACATAATTCTGTGCTATAAATACGGTGAATGTGGAGATTAAAGGTGATACAACATAGGCTTGAAGGAAGAGGTGTTCACCCTGTCTCGGTGTTCCTGAAAGCGGATTTCATGATGTGATGAACTCAACTGATGGTGTCGCTGGTATCACACACTTGAAGCTCTCTGAGGAATCTGACTCTAATGTGATCTGCCCGTTTAATGGAACAGAGGTAGTGGCTTGGGGCAGCAGCACAGAACTGAACAATGGCCTTAGGAACAAGCCCTGTGCCTTGATTGTTAATTGGAAGACATAAACAAGTTGGTTGTTTCTGTGCAGCTCTTCCATGTACCAGTTCTTTGTTCCAACACTAATACTGACTTCACTTAGCCAAAAGAAGGTTTGTAACCTTCACAGTTAAGGTTTACTGATACTGACAAGATGTGACTGCTGTAGCCTGCTCTGACCTTCCCGGGCAGATGGAGAAGGATCTTAATGTAATGAAAAAGGCTGTGTGAGGTTTAGAAACCAGGACAGGTTCCTACCTCAGACACAGAGGTGGCAGAGAGCGACACGCAGGGCTCAGTTACACAGTGATGCAATTTGAACTTTGCTGTTGTGGGAGGAACTGATTCCATTATTGGGTATTTTTGCTTTTTGGAAAGAGAATCGTGGTGGGGTGATGATGTGTGTGCACGTGGTGGGGTTACAGTGGGCTGCTGGCACAGAGTCTGCAGTTCCAGGAGTTCTCAAATAAGAGATGGAAATACTGAAGAGTTCAGAGAAGGCCGTAGAAATGTTCTGGTCCTGGAAAACAAGCCATGAAATGGACTTACTGAACTCAGTGTATTCAGGCCCATCCAAGACGAGAGGGTTCAGGAGTGACTCAGCCACTCTGGAAGTCCATGCCTATGGAAGAGTGATCCTGTAACTGAAAGTCAAAGCTACACAAATTCTTTTAAATATGACATAATTTCCTGGCACTGGGGGGGTTAATTCCAGGAATGGTTCATGGGAGAGGGGAAAGGCTTGTTGTGATTTGGAGCTCTTCAGCTGGAATGATAACGAATTTGAAGATGGGCTTAAACCTGAGACGTTGGGCAGTTTGCTGGTATGAGGTGCCTGTGTGGTCTGGGGGAGATGGTGAGATTATCAGTGAGTCACCTTCTGGGCTCTACTTGGCTGCAGAAATAGCAGGAGTTTTTTAATGTTGCTTCAAGGGCTATAGTTATATGTTAAGATAAGATGAAATCTTTATGCTTTTGGATGACCTTCTGCTTCAAGGGGATTTCCACATGCTGTTCTTCCAGAGCACAGTTAGGTTAAGGGAGTGTTTGTTGAAATCATCACTTTGGCCACAGAGAGCAGACACCAGGTTGTGCTATGCTAGTTCAGGGAATCTCCTCCCTCATCTACTGTGTCCCCCAGATGTCTCCAGAGTGATCCAGATTTGATGTAGGAAGGGATTTGTTAAGGCATACAAGTTTTTCACCCTCAGCAAAGGCAAGGTTTCCATGCTAGGACTTTCTGCCTACACTGTTTTTATCTCTTCACATTCCTGTAAAGGACCTTGGGGATCTGTTTGTCTCAATGAATTGTTTCAACAGGATGAGAGTGCTTTCAAGGTGTTAGGTTTTATAAAAGGGTGTGGGATGATGGGGTCAGCTCCAGGCTTTGTTGACTCCCTCTGAAATGATGACTTTTAAGAAATCAATTAATAAATCTCCCTGTTCCTCTGTGAATGTGAAACTGTCTTACGGAGCTCTGTGTGTTCTGGTATGTGCCGGAGGCTTGGTGCATCCCTGGTTTTATATGGAGAACAGGAACCTGCCCATGGCTGTGTGTCAGCTTTTTGGCTCAAGGATCCTTATTAGCCATGCCTTCTGTTTCCATGTTTTTCCTCAGTGTAAGTGCAAACAATAGGGCAGGAATAATCAAATTTCAGCATGTGGAATAGAACCAGGAAAATGCACGTTCTGGGATGTGAACAATCCATCAGAAAACCTTTGCTGCAGGTTTTTAAGGCAGTAATGCTGTTAATAGTGACACTCACCTGCACGAAGTTTTGGTGATCCTCACTGTCTGGCAGTTGCAGCAAACTTCTCAGCTCTCTGTGTTGAGGGAGTTGAATATGCTGCTTGCATAAAACCACATCAGACAAATGTGTGGTGCATGAAGCACATGCAGAATCCCAGACTAGTTTATGTTGGAAGGGACCTTAAAGCTCATCCAGTTCCAACCCCTGCCACGGGCAGGGACACCTTCCACTAGAGCAGCTTGCTCCAAGCCCCTGTGTCCAACCTGGCCTTGAACACTGCCAGGGATGGGGCAGCCACAGCTTCTCTGGGCACCCTGTGCCAGCGCCTCAGCACCCTCCCAGGGAAGAGCTTCTGCCTAAGAGCTCATCTCAGTCTCCCCTCTGGCAGGTTAAAGCCATTCCCCTTGGCCTGTCCCTACAGGCCCTTGTCCAAAGTCCCTCTGCAGGTTTCCTGTAGCCCCTTTAAGCATGGGAGCTGCTCTCAGGTCTCCCCTTCAGGAGCCTTCTCTTCTCCAAGTAAAGAAATAGCTGGCCAGAGATGTTTCATTGGCATTGGGAGTGTTCTTCTCCTGAACCAGGTTTTAATATTTTGATTTAAAAGTGAATTATTGAGTTTGTGTCCTTCTAAATAAAAGTTCTTTTTTTCATAGCACTCTGCAGATGCTCAGTGCCACAACAGCTCCTCCAGCAGCTCCTTTGTAATCCCGTGCATTGAGGAAAAGGGTGGCCATGGGGGAACTTTGTAGTGTGAAAGGAGCAGAATGTCAGTGACAGGAAGAGGAGTTAGGCTGTGCTGAACATCATGCTATTTCACATGTTCATCTTTGAGTTAATGTGTAATACACTAATGCAGTGTAGGGAGAGCTATGGGAGACATCAGTGGGAAAGGCTGAAAATTCTTGTGGGAAAAATGAAAGGGGGGGGGGGGATGAGGGAGGGCTGGAGCGAAACTCCAGTTAGATTTTGATCAAAAGAGAAGTCTGGGAAGCTGTTTTCCCAGAGGATAGAAGTCTTGTTTCTTCTGTGGATCCATGTGGAGGTTTGGTGTTGCAGCGGGACCAAATGGCAGTAACTTGGGCCTGGATGGTGAGAGCCTCGTCCAGACCTTTGAGGTCAGGAGTGGGATGTCCTTTCCCAGCTGTGCCAGCCACCTGCTGGATGATTTGTGGCAAATGATGTTGTACGGTCTGCAGCTAAAAATCAAGCAAGCAAACCCTGTATGTAATGAGCAGCTTAGTTTGTCTCAGCTTTGCCACTCGCTCGGGATGATGCTCTGGACATAGTTCTTGGTGTTGGCCCTATGTTGAGATAGACCTGTTTGAGGGTTGATGCAACTGCTCTTGCCAAAGGCATTTCCATAGAAGAAAACCCAAAATCATGTGTTACTAATTCTCATAGAATAACCCTCTGTGCTATCTTTTGCCGTGTTAAGTCTAAATGTGTGGCTTCCATCATTTTGGGCAATTTTTTTTCTGATTGAGATAATGCTGTTTTTCCTTAATTTATGGCAAGTTGTACCCATACAGTGCAATTTATTCTTTGCCGTTGCTCATCTTGCCTTCAAAAAGCAGAATACTTTACAAAGTATTGGAAAGTATACAGAGTATAGCTGTGCATGTAAATTGTGTAGTTCAGTTACTACTTTCACAGGGTTTTTTTCTCTTACATCTCTGTTCTGTGCTGAAACTTTTTGCTGTGTGGTTCAAAAGGCACTTTATGGTCATTTTTGATTGTCGCACAATTTCATTGAGCCTTGCCTGGGTTACACGTGCATGGAATAAAAGTCTGTTTCACTGCCCCTCCACTGCTGATCTTTGTAATGTCCAGCTCTGCCTGAAGGAATTATTCCTTATTCCTCAAGGAATAAGCTGTTATGTCAGGAGAGGAGTTGGCTGGAGCGCAGCAGTGCTGTGAGAGGGGGTTGAGAGAGCACAGGGAGCACTGCTTAGAAATACTATTCCATGTGGGTTTTCTTAGGTTATACAATACTATAAATGTGTGGAAAATATTC